TGACTCACTTACAAACTCACTCACATCTAATCTTTGACAAATCCGCCCACTTTCGTACTGACCAGCCAATTAAATTAAGGATAGAAAATTGCAAGAACAGGGGAATCTGTATGACATTAATTTACAACACTGAAATTAGGTAGAGCTAAGCATAACAAATTCAAAGAACACGATCCTAAGATCTAACCATAAAGTTGATAACAAGTATGAGTAAATGACATTGATATCGTGAGGCAGGAAAGAGATGTCAAGAATTAAATATTGGTAACATGTGCAAAAATGCCTTTCCTAAACATCAAATGAAAACAATTAACTTTCAACTACAGATGTCAAACAAGACCGAAAAGTAATAAACAATTATATAAAAATATATTCATAATTAATAATTTGTCATTTAGAAACCCTTATAACCCATAATCATAACACAAGAATAACCGAGAATAGCCCACAAAACCCACCAAATCGTACCATATTCAACTCAAGAGGCCCAGGGGCTTTGACAATCACCTGAAGAAAATACTATAACACTGTAGCATAAAATGTAGCAAATTAAAATGTGTGAGAATGAAGATAGGTCACAAATACAACAGAAATTGGACGATCAGGGATGAACAAAATAGGTAGTCTACAACTCGGTAACATTTTCTCGGTGGCCTGAAATTGCCCTCCCTCCCCCCTCCCAATCATCACTATGGTTGTTATCCCCATGAAAACTATTGTATACAAAACTAGGGCCACTGTTAACACTGAGCTCACTAAATGATTCACCCGCCTCCCATATGATTATACATGTAATGACAAATTCCATGTTTTGCTCTGAGAGACCCGGATTGATTTTAAGCGTCAGATCAAGAAGTAAAATAGAAGGTCACAATGGCATTATGTAATAAAGAGTCTGCGGTGTCCATGTTTTCTTTTGGAAAATTTCAAATTTAAATAAATGTTCGATCAAAAATTAAAATAAAGGGCGCACAATCCAGGCGCTATATAACAAAGATGTGGAAGTTTCTTTCAAGTTCATTCAATGGTATAAGAGGAGTTGTGAATGAGAGATGGGTACCCCAAAGCGTAACGAACGGACGGACATTCCGATCACTATATACCGTCTCAAATCGGTTTATTTGTCTGACCCTTTGAATGTATATATTATTTCAAAGTTTACCTAAGCAGTAAAAGCTTCAAGCAAGCTTTTTGTATATATAAAAACTTTATCGTGGATTTCCTTTCTTCGGTTGACTTTTCATTATATTATTTAGGGTGATTAGTTATTATGTATGAATAGCAAAGGGGAATAACTCAGAAAAAATGACCAAGAAACAAAACACTTGACCAAGTAGTCCACAATTTATAGAATCTGATAAAAATACAATTTCTTATAACAAATTGTACTCCGTTTGCATCCTAGATGTCTAGGAGCACAGAAGAGGATTTTCAAAGAAATTATGCGTTTTACCTATGAGTCTATACTGCCCTTCCCTTCCACTACATGAATTGCTTAATCCAAGGTCATAAAATTCGGAAGAGGCACCCTAAGAACCCAGGAGGGAGGGGGTATTTGTCTTTTGCTAGTAAGAGTAAATTTTCATTTCTTTCGATGTTTGTTGTCCCTTTTTGTTGCTGTAAGGTTAAACACTGGCTATATCCAATATTTGAGGGGGAAAAATGTCCCAAAAATAAAGAGAAAAGCCCCCCCCCCCCCCCCCCCGAAATATGATTTTCATATTGGACAGGTTACATTCTTATTTTTGCTTGGTCAGACTTTTTAGAAGGCCTTTGTCATCATAGCTATGCACATATATATATCTCAATCACACCATGGTGTAAAGAGGTAGGTTCACTAACTCCATAAAATGGCCCTGTCATTATACCAATTAACTGACCAAGTCCTTAGATCCCATTTCGAACATCAACATAATGTGGAGACTTAGAGCTTTCATTTCCTATAAAACAAGATGTGTTTGCAAAACACTGATGCCCCCGTATGGCAACATAGCGAAGATGAAACTTTTCTTACATGCAAATTTAATAATTTAATAATATATTGGCATCCAAAGTAGGGTATTCTCAGTGGAAATACAATTGTGAAATATGAAAGTAGACCAAGGCTAAAGTTTTTCATAAGTACGGAAATCTCCAAGGTCACGGTAATTGTTATCCAATAAAAGGTCTTGCCACAAAGAATACATATGTGAAGTATAAAAGACCTAGCCCTAACCCTTCAAAGGGTTTGGCCAAAGTTACCAATTTTAAAAAGTAGGTCTAACTCCAAGGTCAAAGGGTCATAATTCTTAATATCAAATGAAAGGTCTTGTCACAAGGATTAAATATGAAAAGTGTGAAAGCACTAGCCCTAAACCTTCAAAAGTTATGATCAAGGTTTGTTTTTTAAAGGATGTCAAACTCCAAGGTCAACGGGTCAAAGTTCTTGGTATCCAATGAAGCGTCTTCTCACAAGGATTACATATGTGAAGTATGAGAGTACTAGCCCTTAGCGTTCAAAAGTTATGACCAAGGTTAAAGTTTTTGTCGTAAGTACGGAAATCTTCAAAGTCAAGGTCAAAGTTATTGGCATCTAATGAAAGGTCTTACCACAAAAAATACATATGTGCAGTATGAAAGCCCTTGCCCTAACCCTTCAAAAGTTATGGCCAAGGTTACCAATTTTGAAAAGTAGGTCTAACTCCAAGGTCAAGGTCAAAGGGTCAAATTTGTTGGTACCCAAAGAAAAGTCTTGTCAAAAGGATTAAATATGTAAAGTATGAATGCACTAGCCCTAACCTTTAAAAGTTATGATCAAGGTGTTTTTTTAAGTCGGTCAAATGTCAAGGTCAAAGGATCAAAGTTCTTGGTATCTAATGAAGGCCTTCTCACAAGGATTTATCATTACATGTGTGAAGTATGAAAGCCTTAGCCTTACCGTTCAAAAGTTATTGCCAAGGTTCAAGTTTTTTTTATAAGTACGGAAATCTCCAAGGTCAAAAGGTCAAAGTTGTTGGTACTCAATGAAAGGTCTTTCCACAAAGGAAACATTTCTTTTGATATCAAGACCTTTGACCCTTTGACCTTGACCTTGGAGCTTGATCCAATTTTAAAAATTTAAACATTGGCCATAACTTTTGAACGGTGAGGACTAGGGCTTCCATACTTCACATATGTATTCTTTGTGGCAAGACCGTTTATTGGAAACCAATATTATTGACCTTTTGACCTTGACGATTTTCGTACTTATGTAAAACTTTAACCTTGGCAATAACTTTTGAACAGTTAGAGCTAGTGCTTCCATACTAAAGATATGTATTCATTGTGGAAAGACCTTTATTGGATACTAATAACCTTGACCTTTTAACCTTGACCTTAGAGATTTCCAGACTTATGTAGAAACATTAACCTTGGCAATAACTTTTTAATGGTTAGGGCTAGGGCTTCCATACTTCACATATGTATTCTCTGTGGCAAGACCTTTTATTGGATACCAATAATCTTGACCTTTTGACCTTGATCTTGAAGATTTCTGTACTTATGAAAAAACTTTAACCTGGCAAACATCTTGTTATTTGATATGAAGTAAGGGTCCAAGTGAAATTCTACATATTTTCAATTAAAAATGAGCAGTTCTGATTTTTCAGAAATTCACAGGGCCAAAAAATACCCAAGATCAACCTTGATCTTTGCATTTGATCTCAGATCCGTTACTGTCATGATTTACACAACCCCCAAATCATCAGCAGCCGTAATAAACACATAATCTTTCCTTCTTTTGTTCTCAAGACATTGTTTGAGCTAGGATTATAGTTCTTGACACATGACAAGATTGGCAGGATCACTGAGCATTTCATTTGTTCACACACTTTGTCTGCATTGATGTATGTAACTATGTACCGTACTGTTGTCATTATTACAGAACTCAGACCAGAACTGAGACTAAATCTGTTTTATGCTTTCAAGGGAAGGAGGGTGTTCATAACAAAATGTTGTTTTTTTTTTTTAGCTTAAAAGGGCATTAAACCTTGCTCACTCCTCTGCACCTATATAAATGTTCTTAAAGTATTTCTCCGTTAACACCCCCCCCTCTTTCTTCCCTTTAACTCTCTCTCTCTTTATTTTTCCTTCACTTTTATGCCCCCGTAAACGAAGTTTCGGGGGTATATAGTTTTTGTTGTGTCCGTCCGTCTGTCTGTCTCTCTGTTTGTCTGCAAAAACCTTAACCTTGCCCACAACTTTTGATTCAGTGGAGCTATGACTTTCATATTTCACATGTGTATTCCTTGTGACAAGACCTTGCTTTGAGTACCACCAAATTTGACCCTTGACCTTGGAGTTTGACTCATGTTTACACAAAAATTCAAAACTTTTACTTTGGCCATATCTTTTGAATAGTAAATACCAAGACATTTATACTTCACACATGCATTCATTGTTAAAAGTCCTTTCATTGGATACCAACAATCTTCACCTTTTGACCTTGACCTTGGAGATTTCTGTACTTGTGAAAAAACTTTAACCTTGGCCATAACTTTTGAACTGTTCGGGATAGGGCTTTCATACTTCACATATGTAATCCTTGTGAAAAGGTCCTTCATTGAATACCAAGAACTTTGATCCTTTGACCTTTGAGTTTGACCTACTTTTAAAAAGCAAACCTTTCCTATAACTTTTAAAGGTTTAGGGCTAGTGCTTTCATACTTTATATATTTAATTCTTGTGACCAGACCTTTCATTTGATAGCAAGACCTTTGACCTTGCCCTTGGAGTTTGACCTACTTTTTAACCTTGGCCATCACTTTTGAATGGTTAGGGCTAGGGCTTCCGTACTTTACATATGTATTTTTTGTGGCAAGACCTTTCATTGGATACCAATTACCTTGAAGATTTCCGTACTATGAAAAAACTTTAACCTTGGCCTACTTTCATATTTCACAATTGTATTTCCAATGAGAATACCCTAGATTTTGGTACCAAAATTGAAACTGCATTTAAGAAAAGTTTAATCTTTGCTATGTTGCCATACAGGGGCATCAGAGTTTCACAAACACATCTTGTTTACTTTGTTTTTGTATTGGATTACAAGTTGGCTCTTTTTATCTTTAATACTGGTGATTATTCTCAAAGATCAGAAAATCCACTAACTCAAAGTATGTGGCTCCATTTCCATCCCACCACAAACACTTTTTGTTTTTTACCAATATGAAAAAACTCACTCTTATACAAAATCTTGTTTTATACTCTGGAATGTACATCATATACAAATAAAGTGAGATCATTACAAATACTATATATTAACATTTTGTATAAAAACAAGTAAACAGTACATCATTCTTGGTTAAAAAAACAACAAAAAAAGTTAAAGTCTAGTAAAAAAAATGGCTGCACTTTACATGAATGCTCCATTTTCATAGCGATTTGGTTTATACAATCATCTAAAAATGGACAATATTCATCGGTCTTCAAAAAACGTAGAACTGTTCAATAGGATTTTTCCATCTTGATGATCATTTTTCTCTATGAAAAAACTTTGGTTGTACTTTCGACTAAGTATGATGATTTCTTCCTCAGATAACATGTAACTACTTCACATAAAAAGAACCTGAGCCACATTTCTAAATCAATCTGTAAAATTGTCATATGGCTGAGACATTGTTTTGATTTTCAAACTTAGATAAAACATAAAAGGAATGTTAACTATATATAGGTTGTATTATTAATTAGATATGTAACACAAAACATACCTGTGGATGAACACACTTGGGTACACAATTTGTTTTATCTTAATATCTCTATATAAGTTGTAATATCAGATTTCTGTCATGGAATGTATATAATACTGAGCTCTGAACAGTTATATTTCACACACATTAAAATGACATGTTATTTCTTATGATTTCAAATGAATGAAGGTATTCTTCAATGTTGAAGATACAAATTAAGAGACTTAGATTATTCCAGTTAAATGGATAAATTAATTCACATTGCACCATGCCAACTTGTACAATATACACACTTGTAATTGACTTTAGACTCTTATATGCTACTTAATTATAACTTTAAAATTTTCATACAATTTTAACTGTGACACATGTCTTTAGGCTTGATGGACATATCAACACTACATACTACATATATCTTTTGTTACAAAGTTATTTTAAAAGGGAGTTGATATTCTGTACAACCATTACTGACAATAAATTAGATTCCAGATATACTATAATTACAAAGGTTGTTTCTTGTCTAATAAAATGTCCAGGCTATCGATGAACAAAAAAGTAGTTTATCTAACTATTTTTATGTGGTTTCTTTGGTTTTCCCAAAATAAGACAAAATTAACGTTTATCAATGCATGTATGACTTTATGACTGTGGTTTTAAACCACTTCAGGCCTTTAGATTGCTTACAAAAAAATTGAGGTGTTTTTATACACCAAATTTTTTTAACTCAGTTTTAAATGATACAAAGGACTGTGTTTAAAAAAAAACAAAGCACAGACCCACTTTTTGTTAAAGTTCTCTCTATTTGGCACTTGTGAACACAGATCAAGGTTACATGAAGGTTGTATCATCGTAGTTCTTTCCCTTTGCACGGGCCTCAAATAGGTCCCTAATCAGGGAGGCTTTCTCCTTCTCCAGCTGTGAAATCTTATCTGTCTTCTCACGAAGTTCCTTAAAAAGAAATCTGAATTAATGACTAGATTAACCATGCAGTAACTCTACAAGAAACTAGATTCACAGTTGGATTGTCTGGTAGAAGGAGAAAATTCCATAATTATTTCGAAAAGAAAAATTCACCATTAACAATATCAGTTAACTCTCTTTAACTAAGTAATTCTTCTAAGAAAATAATCTTAATAATTTTTTGTAAGAGAACTCATAATTCAATTTTTTTAATGTTAAAATCCACATTTTAGAGCATGTGAGCCCCTGATTTAATAGCTAGCTCCTTGCTGGAATGCACTGAACCAGCCTCACCTTTCTGAGTTGCTTCTGGTCATTCTGAAGACTTTTCATAGATGTCACATCTTCTCTTAGAGCAGTGGAAGGCCCAACAGCCAAATTCATGTGGAGGGGAAAGCCCTAACAAAGCAATAGGAAAACATTCAAAAAGATAATTAAAGTAAACCCACAAAACACACTGCTGATTCATTTCAATTTTTTGGGGTGGGTGGGGTAGGATGGGGTGGGGGGTTTCAAAATAAATTTTGACTGGTTTGTGGGGGCTTACTTTTACAATTTATTTATTTATATATGTTACATGTACAACAGATACTGTTATGAGATGATAAGGGCAACCCACAAAATCTATGGACATTGGTCAGCCTTAGACAGTGATGATTCACAGTACCCTTATAAGCTCATACATTACAATTCTAACAAGAAATGTTTGTAAAACACTTATGCCCCCCTACCCCAAATTGGAATTTTTTCTAAGTCCAAGGGGCATGCTGTCAAAAATGGCGCAATCGTACCCAAAACAGAACTTGACCTAGATATTCATCTGATAAATCTGTATACCAAATTTCATTTCAGTATGCATGTGCAATGGTCGTGAAAAAAATGAACAGAAACTAAGTGGACCGACAGACAGACCGACAGACAGCAGCAAAGCAATATGCCCTCCCTTCTTCGAAGGAGGCATAAACATAGGTAATAAGAGATTACAGAGCTCACCTCAACGAATGTTGTCTTTAAGTAAGGCAAAGTCACACAATTAACTAACAAAAGGTGTACATCCAAAAATACAAAATTTATGCACTTTTGATCTGATTCTTTCGAATAGACCTATATAAAAACTTCAAACTAGTTCTTTATCATGAAAATATAATTAAAATCCAGCATCTGAAGCAAGTTCTCGAGTTTTCATCCCTTGATGCATCATTTGTACAAGTTTGGTTTATATAAGCCTTACAGTTTCTTGGTAATGGACCTGCACCCATAACTTTTACCTGGTTCATTATCTGGAAAATGTAAGTCGAATTCAGCATCCAAAGCAAGTCCATTAGTGTGCATCCTAAGATATAGGGCTCATAGTTACTTGGAAATGAAACCTGCATAAAAAGCTAACCTTTTCACTTATCCAGAAAATGTAGGTCAGATTCAGCATCCGAAGCCAGCCTGGTAGAATGCATCCTAAGATGCATCATCAATGCAAGTTTGGTCATTAAAGAACTCATAGCAACTTGAAAATGAAACCTGTACCAAAAACTTTGATTGTTCACTCAATCAAAAAATTTAGGTCAGATTCAGCATCCGAAGCAAGCTTGGTAGTGTGCATCCTTAGATGTATTATCCATGCAAGTTTGGTCAACATTGGGCCCATAGTTACTTGGAAATGAATCCTGCACCAAAAACTTTAACCTGTTCACTCGTCCAAAAAATGTAAGTCAGATTCAGCATCCGAAGCAAGTCTGGTAGTATGCATCCTAAGATGTACCATCCATGCAAGATTAATCATTATAGGGCTCATAGTAACTTGGAAATGAATCCTGCGCCAAAAACTTTAACCTGTTCACTCATCCAGAAAATGTAGGTCAGATTCAGCATCCGTAGCAAGTCTGGAAGTATGCATCCTAAGATGTACTATCCATGCAAGTTTGGTCATTATAGGGCTCATAGTAACTTGGAAATGAAACCTGCACCAAAAACTTTAACCTGTTCACTCAACCGGAAAATGTAGGTCAGATTCAGCATCCGAAGCAAGTCTGGTAGTATGCATCCTAAGATGTACCATCCATGCAAGTTTGGTCATTATAGAGCTTATAGTATCTTTGAAATGAAACCTGCACCAAAAACTTTAACTTGTTCACTCAACCGGAAAATGCATGTCAGATTCAGCATCCGAAGCAAGTCTGATAGTATGCATCCTTAGATGTACCATCCATGCAAGTTTGGTCAACATAGGGCTTATAGTTACTCGGGAATGAGACCTACACCAAAAACTGCACCAAAAATGTTAACCCGCTCCAAAAACATTAACCTGGTCATTCCTTTGCTGAAATTTCAGCATCTGAAACTGTGACTAGTACAATGAAACACACTAGAAACAACTTCCATGCATGTCTAATCAATATAGGACATAGAAGTACTTAAAAAGAAAACTGCTCCAGAAAACTTAACCTTAACCTGGGATGCCGACGCCGACGCAGAGGGTATTACATAAGCTCCCCCAACTTCGTTGAGGTGAGCTAAAAATATATATATTAGCTCTTTTATGGGCTGACTACCTATATTCAAGACTTTAATAGGAAAACATCTAGAATATCTTTGAAGAATTTTCTTCATAAATCCATAACCAAACTTACCCTCTCAGAACTGTCTATGAGAGTCTTGAGTTGTTGATTGACTTCCATAATCCTAGCTGACTGGAAGTTCATCCTCTCCTGGTTAGCTTCTAGGTTGTAGTCCTAAGAAATCAGAGAATGTTCATATTAAGGCAATTAAAGTTAAACTAAAAGTGATGAAAAAATTGCATCTACGTAGTTTTTATCCTAAATGAGGTGCGTATTATTTATTGTATACTCACCTGATATGAGATGTACCCTTGTATACTCACATGATAGGAGGTGTGACCTATGTATTGTATACTCACATGGTATGAGGTGTGACCTATGTATTGTTATCACATGATATGAGGTGTGGCCTATGTATTGTCTACTCACATGATATGAGGTGTGACCTATGTATTGTATACTCACATGGTATGAGGTGTGACCTATGTATTGTATACTCACATGATAGAAGGTGTGGCCTATGTATTATATACTCACATGATAGGAGGTGTAACCTATGCATTATATACTCACATGATAGAAGGTGTGGCCTATGTATTATATACTCACATGATATGAGGTGTGGCCTATGTATTGTATACTCACATGATATGAGGTGTGATCTATGTATTATATACTCACATGGTATGAGGTGTGACCTATGTATTATATACTCACATGGTATGAGGTGTGACCTATGTATTATATACTCACATGATATGAGGTGTGGCCTATGTATTATATACTCACATGATAGGAGGTGTGACCTATGTATTGTACACTCACATGATATGAGGTGTGACCTATGTATTATATACTCACATGATATGAGGTGTGACCTATGTATTATATACTCACATGGTATGAGGTGTGACCTATGTATTATATACTCACATGATATGAGGTCTGACCTATGTATTGTATAATACTCACATGATATGAGGTGTGACCTAGGTATTGTACACTCACATGATAGGAGGTGTGACCTATGTATTGTATACTCACATGATATGAGGTGTGGCCTATGTATTGTATACTCACATGATAGAAGGTGTGGCCTATGTATTGTTATCACATGGTATGAGGTGTGACCTATGTATTGTATACTCACATGATATGAGGTGTGACCTAGGTATTGTACACTCACATGATATGAGGTGTGGCCTATGTATTGTATACTCACATGATAGGAGGTGTGACCTATGTATTGTATACTCACATGATATGAGGTGTGACCTATGTATTGTTATCACATGGTATGAGGTGTGACCTATGTATTGTATACTCACATGATAGGAGGTGTGGCCTATGTATTGTTATCACATGATATGAGGTGTGACCTATGTATTGTATACTCACATGATATGAGGTGTGACCTATGTATTGTTATCACATGGTATGAGGTGTGACTTATGTATTGTATACTCACATGATATGAAGTGTGGCCTATGTATTGTTATCACATGATATGAGGTGTGACCTATGTATTGTATACTCACATGATATGAGGTGTGACCTATGTATTGTATACTCACATGATATGAGGTGTGACCTATGTATTGTATACTCACATGATATGAGGTGTGGCCTATGTATTGTATACTCACATGATAGGAGGTGTGACCTATGTATTGTATACTCACATGGTATGAGGTGTGACCTATGTATTATATACTCACATGATATGAGGTGTAACCTATGTATTGTATACTCACATGATAGGAGGTGTGACCTATGTATTGTTATCACATGATATGAGGTGTGGCCTATGTATTGTTATCACATGATATGAGGTGTGGCCTATGTATTGTATACTCACATGATATGAGGTGTGGCCTATGTATTGTATACTCACATGATAGGAGGTGTGACCTATGTATTGTATACTCACATGGTATGAGGTGTGATCTATGTATTATATACTCACATGATATGAGGTGTGACCTATGTATTGTATACTCACATGATAAGAGGTGTGACCTATGTATTGTTATCACATGATATGAGGTGTGGCCTATGTATTGTTATCACATGATATGAGGTGTGGCCTATGTATTTTATACTCACATGATATGAGGTGTGGCCTATATATTTCTGTTTCTCCTCCACAGCCACCACCTGCCGGTGGTACCATCCTCTCGCTTGCTCCACCATGTCCAGCCCTTTCAGTAGACTGTCTTTCTCTTGCTCCAGTTGTTTCATTCTTTTAATCTGTATGCAATACAATTTTCATATTCTGGATATGATTCAAAAAGCTTCATCAAATACTAGTCAGGATAAGCTACCTTGTGTACAGTAGTAACTCACGAATCATAAAAAATCTGGGTATGTAAATTCTAATACACAATGTACTGACTTTAATTACCAGTAAATAAATACATTATTTAGTTTATTATCACATTATATAATAAGGTTATGAATATACCATATTATAGTCCACTCCATTGGCCAGGGTGTGTCTACGGGCAGAGTCCCTCCTCTTGACAGTGACCTGCCTCTGTTGTGGGGGTGAGGTGGGGGTAGAGGTGGAGGGAACCGCTTCCTGCCGTAATAATCGCACCTGCTCAATGTTCTCTGTAAAAGTAAATGGGATAGAGACAAGAAAAACAATACACTTAGTAATCATATGGAGAAGGGCAAATAATTAATTGGCCAAAGATTACCTGTAACCCCCACCCACTCTCTCTCTCTCTCTCTCTCAATGCATTTAAATATGAAGCAAGCAAAATTTAGAAGCCTCTTGTGTTTGTGAAACACTATGCCCCATGGACCCCCATTGGTAACACAAATCTGGAGTGGGATGTAGACTGAAGTGGTATACACTTAACAGCACAATAGTTACGGACTAGATTAAAGTTGACAACATACAGACAGACAAACAGTCAGACACAACAAAAACAATATATCCCCATGATCTTTCGATCCAGGGGCATAAAAATAGATTATTCACAAGAAAGAAAAAAATTGTCTTAAGGAAAAATAAAATTAATTTACTTCTGATAAATATTACATATGGAAAGAACTTGAACTATTGCTACTTCAAATTGCGCAGTGCATAAAATGTTGGCCAATGAAGCAAAATTATTAAAAGCAGAATGATGCTTATTAAATGAGAGCAATGAAAAATCAGAAACACAATATGTCAAATTCTACAACTGCTACTGAAATTTTATTTGTCAATGATCAAGACTGAATAGATAGTCAGATAGTCTAGTATTGATAAATTTTTAATGTCTCTCGTCATGTAAAAAAAAATATATATATCTATCAATTTTTATGTCAACTATCCTTCATAAAAATTCATTAATATCTACCAGTACATGTATATGTACTACATAATTAAATTAAACTAAAACAAACACACTGACAAACTACACATAGATCGTACGATAGAACATGAAGCCTATGATACAAGTTACCGTGATGATAATGCTGATGATATGAATGACCTACAACAATAATATTCTCTCATGTTAGAAGAATATATGTACACAGTGTTAATAAATAATACATATAAAATGTCATCTTTGTGTCAGGGTCCTGAATCAACTGTTGGACAGCAAAGTATTTTCTTCGGACTCCTGACATTGTAAGGATGATGCAATTAGATTTACAATAGATGTGTATTACACTGTGATTGTATTATATGGGGTTTAATTATGTAAAGGTTAAATTCAATGTAATAAATGTAAAGCAACTGAATATTAAGAAATTTATATCAAACAAATTACCATAGGTATTGTTCTGCCTCGCCCTTTCCCCTCGGTCTAACAAATTGGAATCACTCTTTGTGGACTGCAGGCTTTTTGTAGTCTGGTTCTGTTCGCTGGCTTGATGGTTCATTCTCCTCTGCCAGTTCTTTAGTTCTGTGATGATATTCTTGCTTCTGTCTCTTGGAGGAACCTTTGGAGGAATTTGTCCATCACTATTTACAGAGGAATGGTTGGTTCTTTGTGGTCTTGGAGGAGGAATTGGCTTCTTTGGAGGTAAATGACTTGGTGTCTGATTTGATTTACTTTCCCTTGTTTTGTCATACTCTGTCCTCTTGTATGCCATTTGTTCCAGACTGTTTCTCTCTTTACTATGACTGGAGATGGCATTGTTTGGTCGCACTGCTGCCGTGTTCATTGCACCAGAACTGGCAGATGGCCCTCTATTTAAAGCATGATTGGATGATGACCTTGTCAGTATTGCATCCCTTGGAGCAGCAACTGGTTTGCTGACACGTTTCAAGTCTTTGACAGGTTGATTATTTTCTTTGTCATCTCTGAGATCCTTGGATTTCTTCTGGCTGGTCAATAATGCCAATTTTAAACCTGCTACAAATCTATCAAAACTGAGGTATCCATTAGCTGGAGTAACTTTTCTCAGAGCTTCAGTTACTCCGCTTGGAAGTCCCCTTACCCCTTCTTCGTGCCATCGTGCTTCAATGTCAGAAAACTTTACGTAGCCACAGTTTCTTTCATCAAGAATATCGAACAGCACTTTCAGGGAAGAAATAAACTGCTTAGGGAGCCCTTCGATGCTGTTCCATGCAGTGACGCTCGTCATTTTGATTTTATTACCTTGTTGACATCAGCTCACCTGTACAAAATACAAATCTGTCCAAATAGTTAAATTGTTATTTCCATTGGCTAAACCGATTTCCGGTAGGCAGGTAAAACTTTTTAAATTATTTCAAACATAAAATATTCGGATAATTTTTCTTTTTAAAAAAAGGATAGTCAATAATTGTAATTTCTTTTAAAATATATATATATGTAAATTTGTATCTTTTTTTTGAAAAAAATTAGTGATCTTGAGCTTTTGTCCCAGATACAAAATGTGTTTTGAACCGAATAAAAACAGTGCGAGTTACTGTCACATTTTTTGATGTGGTGGTGGTGCCATTTTCTTCTAAATTTTTCTGCAAATTACTACCACTTTATTGGTAAGGAGGCATTTTCAGCAGATTTATCATTGTTCCTTTTTAACAATCTGTGGTAATAGCAGGTATTTTGTTTAAAAGTATGACGACAGAATAAACAGGTAGAATGCTAACAATATGGGGGTGGAGAATGTAGGACTGTCAACTGTCCTTCAGTGCATTAACACTGTGTAACCTATAGTAATGATATAGGTACCAAATTCTCATCTTTGAATTTATTTTCCGTAGAAAAAATTCACACCTTTGTATGTTTTTTTTAATATATTTTAGTGGAGATTATGAACATGCATGCAAATGTGTGTTTTGTTTTATTTGGTAATTTTAAAAGTGAAAGTAAAAAGAATAATATGTTGACGGTGCGACCATTAAGGCGAGTGCAGATACTTATCCAGGTTTCATTTAAATTGGGCTCGTCAAAAACTGCACATGCCATTTGGTGCATCTAAGACTCTGACGTCACATGATGTTGTATGCATGTTGCTTTACCAAACTGAAGCCTGAACAGGGCTGATTTTAATGAAAAACCGTTTTATTAACTATTTCTGCAACAATTCATTAAATTAAGGCAAGTTTATTATTTGTTTAACTTTTGCTCTTATTCTCGCGAGAAGTTGCTTTAGCAATATAACTTGATATGACATCTAGATATTTAAAAGAAATGTGCTTATTTTAAAAATAGATTATTGCAACTTATATTACAGATTTGTCTTCAAAGAAACCAATGCAAAATTTGCTAGTTGTTGAAGTATAGAAATTCGCAAAATGAATCCCTTAAGAGGAAATTTTGGACAAGGGCTTCTTGGGAATTCTCCAGCTTCCTCAAACTTCTCTATCCATGACCAGAACAGATTCCTAGGGGGAGATGGATCATTTTTTGGTAACCAGGAAAGTTACATTGGAGATGGAGGGGGATACGCCAGAGATCAAGGGGGATACGCCAGAGATTTGGGAGACAGTGGAGGAAGAATGGGAGATGGAAATAGTGGGGCTTATTTTGGAGATACAGACTTGAGAGGGACTTCTTTTAGAGAGCAGGTTAATGGCAGTGGTCGATATGGGGATCAGGGCATGGACTTAAATCGAGGCAACAGAAGCTTAAGTGGAGACCATGATTACAGGAATGAAGAGGACATTTACTCTGTGAGGAATTCCATGCAGGGAGGGAGGCAGGATAGGTTGTCAGGGGGAGGCAGCTTTGGTGATGACCGGGGGAGAGGGCAAGACCAATTTAACAGGCTTGGAATGGGAGGATTAGGTCAAGGTGCTAGGACAAAAACACAAGGCATTCTGGGATCAGGACCAATCGTAGGTGGGGATACTGATCTTAGAATTCAAGGTACAGCTTCCACTAGGGTAAACATGATTCCAGAACCATGAAAATTTACTAATTATAATCATATTTGTCAATTAGTGGATCAGGTAAAATATTTAATCTAACTGTTATAATTAATAAGTACTACATTTCATTTTCTTTAGGTGGGTTTGGTGGGATGGGAAACCAGGCCAGAGGTGGGAATGTGCAAGGTGTTGGCAATCTTGGCTTTAGTCCCCCCAGTATGGGAGGTCAAGGTATGCAGCAACAGAGTGGTGGACTGGGCCTTCCGTTGGCTGGCATGGAAACCAACTTACTGAATCTACAGATCCAGCAGAAGCAGCAGGAGGCTGTACTCAGAGATACACAGCTACAGATGGTGAACAATCTACTGCTACAGCATCAGAATAAAAGAGGTAAGTATTTTAATAGTCTCACAATAGTTCTTTGATTTTTCTTTTGACATACATGCATTTCATTCCTTTGTTTTGATTTGAGGTAAATTTTCTTTTAAAACATTGTAAAGTAAATTGTTTAACATTTTGTTCAATGTAAAGGAAATCAAATGAATCCTGGATTTGGAGGACCAAGCCTTTTGGGAACACCCCAGAATTTACAGTCAGGATTAATGGGAAGTCCAGGGGGTAAACCAAGAAACACTGGCCACATTCCTTCACTGCTTGACATCAATACAAAGAAACCACAGGGAAAGAGAGGGTTCTCAGGGCCAAGGGACCAAGGAGGGTTTAAAAAACAAAGAATGACACCACCACAGAAGGTACCTTGCATTTTAGCATGAATTTCATAATGTAATTATCATATTTCTCACCATTTTCTATTGATTTGTTTCCTCATACAAACATTATGTAAAGATTCTAGCAGAAGTTCTAAATCTTTGGATTTTTTTCTATGCAAAATGACCCAGATGGTTTTTATTCCAAGGAATGGATATATCTTTTATGACAGTTGATCTTTATTTTCAATCACAATAATCAATATATTTTGGGAAATGTAAGTTGGGTTTTGCTGAGGTTCAGGATTTCTTAAGACACACATAATTTTAATTGATTTTGTCAATTTTTTTTCTTCAGTGTAGTTGATGCTCCTCAAGATTTTCCTTTTTCTTCACCAAGAATGTAAAATAATTTTTTAAGAATTGTGCTGCTTTGGTACCATACATTATAAAAAGGGTTTGAAAATACAAACAAAATGTCTGAATATGTCTTGTTGAAATAATTTGGTTTCTTTTGTCACCTTTGGTCACCAAAAGACAAAAGTCTGGACTTTTCAGAGACTTCTAATTCTTTATTTCACAGATTGTTATTGACTGTGGTTCAATAAATGCAAAACCTCTTTTTTCTATAGAAAATTCCTGTTATATGCTTCTTTCTGATATGGATTTTTGACTAACACTCAGCATTTTCTTTCTCAAGTTTAAGCTTTCTCTTTTTAAAGTTAACCAACAGAATAACCCAGTACAATTATTTGAAATCTTTGAATTCACAAGATTTAACAAATTTTTATGAAGTTGGTCTATCTTTTTCTCACCAATTTGTAATACTATCAGAAATTGAAGAAGTTCATGTTTTACTGTTATGTGGGTTGGAAGAAACAATACCCTCGTATTTTTTTTTTATATCTTAAACTTTTATTTAGGATTTTTTTTCTCTCTAGAACTTCGTGATTTGCAGAAAAGTTATTGATTGTGGTTTTTGTCAGCTGAGGGTACAGAAAGAATCTAATTTAAAAAAATAATTCAGGATAATAGTAACATGGTATTTTGACCCTTTTGCAGCCACATTTGTCATTATAGGTGGGGAAATTCCCATTCTCCAGGTCTTTGGGACAGATCTGATGTTGATATGCAAGGATGAGCTAGCTCTTCTACAATGTTCAGAACAAATTTTATCTCTTCAACTGAAACCTTTATTGCACGTGGGTGATGAACAAAATGAAAGTATTATGTTTACTGTTATGACATGTTTCTTGAAGTTCAGAGTATGGATAGATTATTCCTCTTCATAGAAGTTGATCATCAATTATCACAGCAATAAGTTGAGCATCTTTTATACTCATTGTTATTCCCCTTTTACTTCCAGACTTAACATGTCTTGACTGCATGTATGAATTACCACACTGGAGCATTTTTGCATTATGTTTAGTATTTATGAAATATATTTATTTTTCATCTAACTTAGCCTATCCTCTGAAGACAACCAAGGTGGGTAAAGTGAAGTTTACCTATGTTCTACATTATATGTGTATTATGTTTGGAATTTGGATTCAGATGTTATGATCAATCCTACTTGTTTCTGAGTACAATAAATTCCTTTTTCAACAGAGGAAGATAGTTCTGAAGAAGACATCCATGTACCAAGAAGCCCATCGAAACAAGAACAAAACCCAAGTCTGCTTGTAGATCAGTCTATATGCCAATCTTCTGAAATTGCCTTTTTTATTTTAGTCAAAGTTTATCCCAAAACTTGTTGAAGGTTTCATAATGTCTTTTATTTCTTTTATATATTCACAGTATGAACAGTTTTAAAGAATATTCAATTTGAATTTAGCATCCTGTGTGTTGGTTACTGTAAAGAATATAAAAATTCTTACCTACTTGCCCATTGTCCATTGTATGATTGATTTCTCTATCCTACCAGCAGTGACATTTCTCACTTATGTATTTGAATACTAAAATGTACTAAATACTTTTCTCTAAATTTCTAGGTAAAAATTTTTGTCAGTGATGTCTTGCATACATCACATATTAAAGTATAAGATTTGACCCCCCCCCCCATTTTTTCCTCCTCAACATTCTGTACTCAACATTGCTAATCTTGTCTCTAGTTAGCTGCTTGAATGTAGAATATGAATTTCTGGGAAAAAGCAAGACGTGGCATTGTGATTTTGCTCTATTTCTTGCATCATACCGGTATCTAAACATTAGACTTTTAGCCTAAGGTCTTTCTGAGAGCAGTATGTCAAAAATCTGACAATTTTCTTACTGATTGAAAATATTCTATCCTATTTCATGCTATTTGGTAAACTGTACCCAAAGCATATATTACTTCATGTGAAGGTGCTCTGTAGAGCTACTAACCTGGATTTGAAACTCTTTGGAGTTTTTTATCTCCTCAAAAAAATTATTGATGCAAATTATGGTATTCCATATAAACTCTATATATTTTCTTCCAAATCTCAATTATGTTCATCCATATTGAAAATGTTTTCAAAACATTATCAAATACACATATACTCAGTACAGATATGATCAGAAATTAAAGCTCATCTCTGACTGTTATAAACAGAACGTTAGTACTCCTATTCCAAACTTCCCTGACCCTGAGCTGTATGCTTTTGGCAGAGAGTGTCCTCCAATACTATGTGACCAGCCATCTTTTCTGCAGGGGATTTATTCTGTTGATTTCTAATCTATAAACCCTGCCCTACTGACATATTTCAGCGTACTCCAGACAGAAGAAATGACAACAGTTCAAATCGGGGTCCACGGAGACGTTCTCAGGAGAGACCAAGATCTTCCGAGGGTACAGACTCTCGCTCTACTCCTCGCAGGAAGGAGTCAGGTATTGTCATGCTTGCAGATAGATTTATCTGCCACACTGCTCTCTCTTTTATTCCCATGGTAAAGAGTAGGAGTGATTCAGATCTGAATCTCTGGAGTGTTTTAGTCAGCCAGCATTTGCACTCATCAGTAAAATGTTCTACTACCTTATGTGTTCTGTCATTTAAGTGTTACTTCTAACACTGGAATTCTTACATATCTGATATACTTCTACTTTAAACAAAAACCAAGTTGGTTTGTATGTCATTTTATATGTCACTTCTTCTCTTTCAAAATTCTTTCTTTCTGTCTTTTACATCTACATTCTCTCTCTTCTTTTGTGTCATTTGGGTGCTTGTTTTGTTTTGTTAAATTTTTTGACATCTTTTTGATTACATTTGTTCAAATGGCTCAGAATATGACATTTTATATGTTTATTTGTAAGATGGAGCTCCTGGAATCCTTGGAAAATGTCCGGCTGCACCAGGGGTAAAACCACTAAACACCAGTATGACAAAAATACATGGTACTCCAGAGGTTAAACAACTGAGCACACATATAGCTACTCCACAGGAGACTGCTGAGTTAAATCCGCAAGTCTCACCTGTAGTCAAGCCAAAACAGACTGGCCTAGCAGAGAAATATGACCCCGAAGAACCAACAGAGGATGAGGTTAGATCAGAATGAATAGACTGTGATTCATCATTAAAAGATGATTTTCTTCTCCAGAATCAAAGGGCTTGCCTTGAAAAAAAAGAAACGTATAAAAATATGTATGAACTAAGTGTTATATATGACTTAAGAGTTTTTTTTCTCGAATGAAGTCCCAAGTGAAGGTGGGGCCTCAGTGGGCCATGAAAGCTTTACCTAGGAATATATAAAAATAATCTTTTAAAAATTTCTTCTCAAGAACAGCAAGGCATTGGTTAGATGTATTTAAATAAAGTATCCTTAAGTTTGTTCATATTATGGCCTTCAGCGGCTACATAAGTAAACATAGGGATATAGAGGGTGAAAAGTCTTCAAAAATTTCAAGAACAGTAAAGCCAGGGTTCATATAGATATGGTCCCAATTGAGGCCCCAGACATCTTGTTTTAGATATGTAGAATGGTATTTGTTGAGATTGCATGCATTTTTTCAAGGTGATGGATTTTGAGGAAGATAAAGATGTCATCACAGTTTTGGACCTTACTGAGGAGGAACAGCCCCTCCCAGCAGGGTCTGAGGACATTGAGGATGTTACCATAGTAACTGTGGAGAAAAACCAGGAGGAGCATGAGGACAAACCTAAAGAGGTAAAGTGTAGTGCAGGCATCTCTAATGTGTGAGGAGCACATTGAATTACGAGAGTTCCATAAATTCTTTTAAGTTCTGTCGAAGTTTCCTAGCTTTCTTAAGATTGATTTTAGTGTTAATGGCATTTTCTGATATTCAGAATTTGTTGTCATTCTGATCTATCTAATGTAGCTTTGAGTATGTTACCCAAAGGAGAAAGGTATTAAATTCGAAATTTTGCGTGAACACAGAAAGCATACAACAGCTGCTGATGTCTTTCATTCAGTATCTTACTCTCTTAGTGTGTACAAATTTGTTTATGAATATGTTATAAATTCTTTTATAGAAAAGTAGCTCCAATAAGAAGTTAACTAATTTCTACTGCCATGTCTGCAGCACAGAGTGTCGAGATGCAGAGGTAGGTTGAGTTCAGTTAAGGGACCATGTCCTGCTGTTACATGTAAAAGTCAAATCTTTTTAACTTTTTTTTTTTTCAACATGACATATCTAAATACATGTAGTTCTAATAATAAGATCAACAAATAGTACATACAATTACTACAATTTAATTTTTTTATCTTTAGGGATTTGCTAAACATATGAATGGCATTAAACACAAAAATCGCATGGATGCCATGATGGGCCTTCACCTGGAGAAATCTAATCAGCTGATTTCTCGTATCAAGGCTGAGGAGCACCTCAGAAAAATAGAGTCTTCTCCAAGGTAGGAATCAGGGGCTCGTTTTACAAAAGAACTTACGACTAAGACCAAAAACTTCAGATTATTGTAAAATTTTGCAAGATTATCAATTCTCTTCAAAATGATTTGTGTAAAAACATAACACATTTCTTTAAAAAATATTAAAATAATTTTCGATATAATGTTTATTAAAAAGTTATATGAAGAATTAAACTTGGTCTTAAACACCCAATTTTATGTTAACACCCCCTAAATCTACCTGATTCAAGATCAATAATTTACCGCCTGTCAATCATTAAAAAAAACAATAGCTTCTGATTTGATTGACAGGTCAGCTACCTGTGCTTTCTGATAATCTGAGTTTGCATGTTTTGAAAACAATTACCTGGTCACGCATCAAACGCTTTCATGTACCCGCATAGTATACACGCGGGTTACAAAACTCCAATATGTTTGAATTTTATTTCAAAATATAATCGAAAGTAGATTATTAAAACATTGAATATAAAATAAAATATTTCTTTTCTATCTTCACTGTTGTTTGTTACTTGTAAGTGATATATCGTCCACGTTATCTGTTGAAAAAAGACCGCGTCCACAGAAACCGGCTCTATTTGGCGTAATTGGAAGTCCGACGATTTAAATTATTTTTTAAGAAATGGAATATAAGAAAAATATTCAGCACTAATAAACGGCATAGCATAGTTTTAAAAAGAAGTTTTATTTTGTACTATGGCTACAATCCGCATGATGTACAGAAATCGATGTCAGAATTAATGCTCGAATTTCATCTAGCGTCTGTATATATACGTAATGAAAATGTTCAGATAATTAATAGTGATTGATTCTGAAAAGAAATCGTTCTACCAATTAAATTTTGTTAACACACGAAGAATAAAAAAAATATGGAATATTTTGGACAACATTGTTGGCCAGGGAAAAAAACCATTCCGATCGCGGTAAGTGCATGTTCACATGCACGACGGATAGGTGGATTATTATTTTTTTTTTTATTTCAATATTAAGACTTTTTTAATTAAGTGATTTCTTTAATTGAAGATTAAAAAGATAAATATTATTGATTTGTAGTTTTTACTCGTGACTTTTTCTTTTATGTAAGGAAAACATTTTCTAAAATGATATACATGTATCTTATTATTTTTCTCCTTCAAAACATTACTATGATTATGACGAATGCGTTAAGTTTACAAATAAATTTCACATTAAAATAATTATTTTACGTTTCACTCAAAACCAGACACAAAACACGTAATGTTGACCCTGATTACCAAACACAGACTTCCTGTGTAATGCTATATACACAGATTTTTGACATCTTGGGTATTGGGGGTCTCCAGGTAAATAACACCACTACTTCGACCACTCCCCCTCCTCAGATAACCGTACGGTAAAAAAATTGGGTCTTTAAGTCGTAAGTCCCTTTGTAAAACGGGCCCCAGGTTTCATATACATGAGATTTTACCATTTATAGATATCATCATTCATGAAGGGGACATATTTCAAAGAAATACAAAGTTTTTAAATACAAATTTGTTTGCATGTAACTTCCAGTATTGCTGAAGAGATATTCGCCTGCATGTAAATATATAAGTCTTGATTGGTGGAGGGGGAAGTGTAATGGCACATTTCTTAGTCATGAATTCTTGAAAAATATACCTGGGTTATGTAACTTACTTATAACTTTTGAAATTTTCAAATTCCAGGGGGGAAGAGAGGAGAAGTGATGGTGAAAGAAGACGCTCGCGGGATGGACATGATAAACATGTAAATACTTCTTTTGAATCCATTGCATCGACAATTTCACAATACAGTGTATTTGATATTGTACCTGTTGCATAAGTTTCTTATACTAACAGCAGTATTCTCCAGAAAAAAAATTCACCACCTGATGTTTCACGATAAAATCTTTTCTTTGATCTGTAATCTTAAACTTATCAAATAACAGATAAGTCTCTTCAATTTTAATTTTTTTTTGCAGTTTCATTTTCCTCTTCTCTTATCTTTACATCTTTAACATTTTGTTTTCTCTCCTCTGACTTTTCTCAGTCTGGGAATTATTTCAAGCGTCCATTCTCTGGACCTCTACATCGAAGAGGTGCATTTCATCAGGTAGCTATCATTTCTGCCTTTTCCTCTCATTTTTCTATCTGACATAATGTTGTTACATGTATTTAGGGGATACCCTATAGTAATCACTTTTCTGTTTGGTCCACATTTTTTCCTCTCTTGATATTAGTACCAACAACTGTTTTCAATATTATACATGTACATGTCTAAATTTGATATCTTGTTTCAACAGGCTGTAAGACATAAACATTCTTTTCCTAATAGATTTTACAATTACACTTAGATAATCATTTCTGAGTGGGTTCCTTGCTGACTGTAATGTTTTCAATATGCTATAACAGATTTTGATTTTTTGCTTTCTTTATTCAGAGCGATAGTTGTAGTAGAGTGTACTATAATAGATTCTGATTTGTTTGCTGTCTGTATTTAGAGTGATAGTCGCAGTAGAAGAGACAGACATCGATCATCAGACCAGGAATTCTTCCCAGACATTGGCGACCTCGTTACCCTGGATACCGTGGGGTTTGAGGATGAAAATATGGTATGTCTAGCCACAGTTTTGAATTCATATGAAGGACTTGGTCAAAATTATGTGTAATGGGTATTTCAAAATCAAATGATTTCTATACACTGCACACTACAGTTCTAATTCTGTAATATTTTACTCATTTACCGATAGATATATCTGCCTCTTTATTTTAAAATGAGATAAATTAAAATCCATAGTGTGTTAATTAACTTTTAATCAATTAAAACATTCTTTTTCATTTAAGCCAAGATGAGTTAATTGAAAATTTATTTGTGTAAATTTTTCCTACAATGTATAAAAGTAAAGCAACTAAGATTTCTGTTTATCAGTACTTAGTTGTTAATATTTGAACATTTATCTTATGGCTTAATGCCTGGTATCCACTACTGTTTATGAAACTGATAAATTCAGTATTCTCATTTTTATCTGCTTTTTTTCTTGATGTCCAAAGAAAGCTTATGATTGCTCTTAGAGATTTCTTAACTTTTATGAAGTAAAAATAAACCTCTGTGATATTATTTTGTAAATCTAATATCTTAACACTCAAACTTAATTGCAGTTTTTTTTAATTGTTGATATCATTCGCATGTACCAAGTAAAAGTAAGTTGGAATATCAAGAGTATTTAGATTTAAAAAGATCTTTTTAATTTGAAATTTAGGACAGAGAATTAACAGAGACCAAATCACCTGAAAAGACCAATAGTTCAGAGAAGTCCACTGATGATTCTGAAAAGAAGGAGATGGAAAGTTTAACTAACAAAGATGGAGATCTGTCTGTGAATCAGAAAGGTCTGAGCAGCAAGAAATCAGATAGTTCTTCCTCAGAGAACAAAAGAAGTTCTCAAGCTGATTCAAAGGCAACAAAATCAGACGGAGGCAAACTCACCAAAAAAGAAGAATCATCCAAAGAAATTGATAGCAAGAAAAAGCCAGCTACCACTCCAGCCAGGAAAGCAACTGAAGTAGAGAAGAAAACACCTGAAGGAATGGAAGGCATAACATCAAAAGAAGGACCTTCTAAAGGTGCAGCTAGCAAAACAGAAGATGAAAAGGAAAAAACAAACAAAAGCACAGAATTCAGAATTCCAAAACTGTCTTCTGCCAGGAAAACAGTGGATGGAAAGGAAAAAGGATCTGGTGGCATGGAATTCAAAATTCCAAAACTTTCCTCGACCAGTCCAGCCAGAAAGATGGCAGAAGTAGAGCAACATCCAGCAGAAGCTAAAGGAGACAAAACTCCCGTCTCTGATAACCTTGCGACCAAGCAGAAGAGAGACACCTCTGTTCAAAAAGTGGAGGATTCAACAAGTACCCCTTCAAGTTCATCAGTCAAAGAGGTTAAGGAGGTACCTCAACAGACCTCAGGGAAAACTCCCTCGCTACAGGCCAAGCCAGATCCCCCTGTGACAAAAGAGCCAGCTTCTGAGATTCCTCCTTACAGCTCTGATGTTCCTATTGGTGGGTATATTTGAATGACTTTGGCAATATCTGTGGCTCAAATTTTTTGTGATTTGACCCTTCAATGGTATATCAATTTCTTTGCTTCCTTGTTGAGATTGCTGTGTTGAGGAGGGTAGATAAAAACAATCTGTTGTTATATTCTTCTTCCTTTAATAAAACTGCATGGTTCTTCAAAAATGAGACATCCATGGAATTTACATGATACAGTACATGTATAACCAAAGATCTATGATGTGTCAATTTTGATTAAAAGAAATTTTGGTATTTGATGTCCACTACTTATCCTTATCGTGCCCAGATCAAAATTAATATTTTCCTTGAACCCATTGCTTGATAAAGAGATATTTCTATTATCTCACCTCGTTGAAGTTAAGGAGAGCTTATGCCATATGCCTCCAGCTTTAGATATATATATTTTTAAAAATGTTTAATGAAAGCCCAAAAACCTTTGGTATAAGGCTCTCCAGTTAACATTTGTGGAGGTGAGCTTTGTAATCTTGAATGATTATATTGATAAAATTACATTTGCTAGGTTTCATTTGTTTATTTTCATAATTCACCTACTGTTATACTTTTTTCCAGGTCAAAATTATATAGTTCCTGTGACTGGATTTTACTGCAAGCTTTGTAGTAAATTTTATAACAATGAAAAGGCAGCTAAGGAGGCCCATTGTCAAACCAGGGCCCACTACGATAAATACAAGGTAGAATCTCTAAATGTTAAAGAAATAAAATGTACCTGTCCTTGTTCTTTTTAAAAAACATGGATGGTATAAAAAATTACCCTTCAAATACCAATGTTCAAAATATTCTTTACAAGTATAGTATTAGAATAAACATGCTAAAAATGTCAGTTTTCTCTGACATGCATTGTATTTACCTGTACAATAGGCACTAAACTTAATTGTTAAAGAGTGCTATCTACCATAGCGTAAACAGGTTTATACTAGAGTAGAAATTTTATATTTATGAATATTTATGAATATTTATGATGTGTTTCAGAGTGCCATGATAGGGCTGAAGACACCTGTAGGTGGGATTACCAAAAGTGCAGAAAAAGGTGAGGACCACTCAGCTCCCTCGATTGACAAGAAGGATGAATCTAAATCCGGTGTAGAGAGTCCACAGACTGACCCCGAGGGTAAGGAATAGAAAGTACCTGCTGTTAATGGTAATATATACATACATTATAGTTAACCTAAAATATTTTCCAAAATTATTAAATTTTGTTTTTTGTTATCAGTAAGATGGAAGTTTTCCAAGATGTTATACTGTTTTATGAACTTGTAGGAAGTACAAGAGGAAGAGCTGGATCCCATGCCAACAGAGGCCGCAGGGGCAGGAAGTGATGTCATCAGTTCAGGCCATATCTTGTCAACTGTACCATTCAGTTTTGCATCCGTTTTGTAGACCAGTATGAGATTTTGTGCCGTTTTTTTAAGGAAAGCAATTCTTTTAAGAGAAAGAACTTGTTATTGTATGCTTTCTCTCTTTAGAGAGTACTGATTAACAATAAAAATGAGAAGTCTTCACTTGATATGAGAGAAAGATATCTGTATTTTATTTGACAGCAAGTTTAGTATTATGTATATATTAACATTTTGTATATACATTTTGTTTAATGGCAGCATTTTTTAAATGAGGACTGGATTTTTTTTTTCTATTTCCTGTCAATGCCTTTCATGTTTCTACTAGACATATTTCATTCTTTTTGAACATGTACACTTTTTCATGCTAAAACTATTGTTAATATAATGTGGTCCACAATTTTTTTTTTAAATGTCATATTGAGGTTGAATAGGCTTTCCATTGCAGTTTGTTTTAAATATGAAAGGTTTTGTAATTTTTGATTTCCAATCTGATTGCAGAGTTTTCGTGATATAGTATTGATTCACAGATTGAGAGTCTTGAAAATCACATATTGGTACTTTCAGAATGATAATAGATGTTACCATTGTTACCATTCAGTTGATGGTTTCAATGAACAATTTATATGCAAGTGAAATGAATACAACTAATTGATAAATTAAACTCAAGAATATAAGTGTTAGTCCATAGTCTGATTTGTTTGGTTGTTCTTCAAAGTTTCTGTTAGTTGATGTGTTACTTTTACACTTTTTTATGACGTATTACATGTACTACTAATAATATTAACTGCTGGTTGTAAGTGAGGAGTTTGGAGTACAATGCTGGAAGACAATTCTTTAAAAAGATTTTGTGGTATGACTTGAGAAAATTGTTATAGTCTCTTATTCACATGACTAATAAAATAAATCAAACTTCTTTCTTTCAGAATTTTAAATAGTACAATTCTCGGTCATCCTTGGACTTTCAGTAAGGTGTGGCTTTCTTGGTGCTATGTCTCTCAAATGGCAAATAGATTCTCATTGGTTAAGAAATAAATAACAATAGCAACTTTAAATTATTGTTGACAACTATGAGAAGACTTAAACCCCACCTCTTTACTGTACGAAATGCTGTCATTGGATAATATGCTACACTTGTGACATTCACCCGCATTTCTATCCCATGTATATTTCAATAGTGAATGAAAGGCTGTGTAAATTTTAGACACTAATTTTGTAATGTCAAGAAACAAGTATTCAAAAGGTTATTGAGGAAGTTTTTAAAAAAAACAGTTTTCAGATCTTCTGAGCCAAAGGCTAAACAAGTTAATGCTATGACCATTCATGCAGTATGCATTAGCTTTTTAGAATATTGGCCATATCTCAAGAACCCCTTGGTCATTTTTTGTCAAATCCTTGGTGTTGGCGAAGGCTCAAATAATACTAAAAGTAGGAATATGACCCTTAAACAAAAGGAGATAATTAGGGAAATTTAAACAAAATTACTGGTTGGTTAAAAATCTTTCAAGAACCACTTGGCAGATTATCATCAAATGTACACACAAGAATGAGGATATGTTGTAAATTGAAAATTATTCAAGACAAACCCTGGGACAAAGGATGAGGTCTCAATATCACTATAGTTGACCAAATATGCATGGTCGACATCAAAGTAGGTCAAAGTGACCCAATTTTTAAAAAAATTTTGCTGGCATTCATTTTTAAATTGATTTTATAGGCATATTTTGGAAACATAAAGGTTTCCGATAACCAAACTTTTGTCAGTTGATGCATCTTGGGTTCTCAACTAAGCAAGTATCTAAACTTAACTAAAAAGTAGATCACTTGAATTTTATGGCTAAATTAGTTTCAAAACATTTAAGGGCTTTTTTTTCAGATACTGACAAGTTTAGAATCATTAAACTTTTAACCTGAAGCTGGGGCCTACAAATGTATTAATCCAAAAGTAGGTCACAGTGACCTTTTTTTCAATTCACCTGAGCTGAAAGCTTAAGCCAAGAGTAGATCAAAGCAACCAACTTTTCAATTCACCTGAGCTGAAAGCTCAAGCAAGCTTTTCCAATCACCTAGTGTCCATCTGTAAACTTTTCACATTGTCAACTTTTCTCAAGAAACTTGCAAGGAAGCATCCTGGGTAGTGTAGATTTTAAATTGTTGAAATCATGACCTAAATTTTATGGCTATATTTAATTATTTCGGTTAAATTTTAATTCATAGCACTTTTCCCCCCAAATTATCTAAAAATATAATAATTTGAAGTGAATTTCAAACATAAGTATCATACAGAAATGAATGCAAACATCACAATTGCATATTTATTTTTGCACAAGTTACCAAAAAAGCATCATCAAAAATCAATAAAGAAGCATTATGCATGATTTACCAAAATCAAATCCACCCTATGAATACCCCAGTAGTATTTATGAAGAATACATAACAAGCATTGGGAATGATAATGGTCAGTAGACTGAAAATATACACATTATTACATCTTATGAATTTATTATCCAATATGGATAATGTTTCAAATTCACAATAAAACATAGGTAATCAGAGATTACAGAGCTCACCTCAACGAATGTTGTCTTTAAGTAAGGCAAAGTCACACAATTAACCAACAAAAATGTGTACATTCCAAAAATGAAAATATTTAAGCAATTTTGATCTGATACTTTGAAATAGACCTACATAAAAAATTTAAACTAGTTCTTCTTAATGAAAATGTAATCAAAATCCAGCATCTGAAGCAATTTGAGAGTTTTCATCTCTTGATGCAACATTTGTGCAAGTTTGGTTTATACTATGTTATATTAGCCTTATAGTTTTTTGGAAAAAGACCTGCAACCATAACTTTTACCTGGTCTATTATCTGAAAAATGTATGTCAAATTCAGCATCCGAAGCAAGTCCATTAGTGTGCATCCTAAGATGTATCGTCCATGCAAGTTTGCTCATTATAGGGCTCATAGTTAATTGGAAATGAAACATATATCAAAAACTAACATTTTCACTCAGCCACAAAAAGTAGGTCAGATTCAGCATCCGAAGCAAGCCTGGTAGTATGCATACTTAGATGTATCATCCATGCAAGATTGGTCATTAAAGAACTCATAGTTACTTGGAAATGAAACCTGCACCAAAAACTTTAACCTGTTCACTCAACCAGAAAATGTAGGTCAGATTCAGCATCTGAAGCAAGCCCAGTAGTGTGCATCCTTAGATGTATCATCCATGCAAGTTTGGTCAACTTAGGGCTTAAAGTTACTTGGAAATGAAACCTGCACCAAAACCTTTAACCTGTTCACTCAACTGGAAAATGTAGGTCAAATTCAGCATCCGAAGCAAGCCCAGTAGTATTCATCCTTAGATGTATCATACATGCAAGTTTGGCCAACATAGGGCTTATAGTTACTTAGAAATGAAACCTGCACCAAAAACTTTAACCTGTTCACTCAACCGGAAAATGTAGGTCAGATTCAGCATCCGAAGCAAGCCCGGTAGTATGCATTCTAAGATGTATCATCCATGCAAGTTTGGTCAACATAGGGCTCATAGTTACTTGGAAATGAAACCTGCACCAAAAACTTTAACCATTGTTCAGCTCACACGGAAAATCAAGGGCAGATTCAGAATCCGAAGCAAGCCCGGTAGTATGCATTCTTAGATGTATCATCCATGCAAGTTTGGTCAACATAGGACTTGTAGTTACTTGGAAATGAAACCTGAACCAAAAACTTTAACCTGTTCACTCAACCGGAAAATGTAGGTCAGATTCAGCATCCGAAGCAAGCCCGGTAGTATGCATCCTTAGATGTATCATCCATGCAAGTTTGGTCAACATAGGGCTTATAGTTACTTGGAAATGAAATCTAAACCAAAAACTGCACCAAAAATGTTAACCTGCTCCAAAAACATTAACCTGGTCATTCCTTTGCTGAAACTGCAGCATCTGAAACTTTGACTGGTACAAAGAAACACACTAGAACCATCTTCCATGCATGTCTAATCAATATAGGACATAGAAGTACTTAAAAAGAAAACTGCTCAAAAAAACTTAACCTTAACCTGGGACGCCGACGCCGAGGGTATTACATAAGCTCCCCCAACTTCGTTGAGGTGAGCTAAAAATAACTTGCACAGCAAGTTTTTTCCTTTCTTTTTCTTGAAGAACTGTACTTTTAAAGATTTGAATGTAGTTCTATTGATCTGTCACACCAACTTTATAAAATTCACTGAACCGTGATGTTAACTCCACTGCATCATTATAAAGTCCCATGTCTGAAGTGGAAAAGAAATTTAATGTTAACAGTGCAAGATACGAGTCCGGGGACACTTAAATACAAACATCATCTCAAATTTGTTGGAAGTAAGAAATAAAATTTTGATATATATCCAAGCATTCAAGATACTTCTGGAACTTCTGACTATGAAATATCCCTGGTATTCAAAATATTTCTGTTCGAGACATCAAACTTTAACTGTATATTCATATATATACACTTCAAGTTCATCAATTTACATTTAATAAATTTGCCATATTCTTACCAAATGTATCACTTATTTCCTTTGGGAAAGCTATGTAGTTTTGACAATGAATATTGTTCTGTGCATCCACATTCCCGTGGACTTCAGTTAATCCTGAAACATACTCTCCAAGCTGAAACACAAAACGGGATGTTTATTTACCAAGGTATGAAGTCAATGAATGTTGTTGACACCTTTTTTAAAGAAGTATGAATACCTGAAATATAAATAAATTCCATAATTAAGGATCTATTGAACTTGTATTCAAAACTTTTTCAAACTAGTTTGCAAAATAATTTGCTCAGTTTATTTATTACTATTTGTGATGACATAGTATAACTGTGATAAAATAACACATCTGGCTATTTTGAATAGCCTAATAGATTATATAAATTAATTATTATATACATGCACAATGTAAGGTAAACTGTTAATTCTCAAACTTTTACAGCACATGTTACTGGTTTGATCTGTGCCTAGTTTGAACGATTTTATACTCACTGGCTCCTGCATAATTATTCTGATATCTTGACCATCACTTGTTGACAGGGTGAAAGCTGTCCCATTGCTGTCAACCTAATAAAGAACAATATCCTAAAAATATTGATTTACTTTTGAATCATCAATATTCATGGGGGCAACTCTGGGGATTGCCTAAAGTCAGGAGGCTTGGGGGTATGTAAAACCTTGTATTTGTTCATGACGAAAGAGACAAATGAAAGCAAAATTGTGAAAATTTTTATTGAACAAGTAAGTAAGTAAGTAAGTAATCATTTATTATAGTGACATTGTGCATATAGACATTTCAATAAACATTGTATACAACATACGTCAGACTGAATCTGCACCCGGCCCATTGGACCTATAAGTCACTTTTTCCATTAATTACATTTATATAAATTTACACATGCAGAAGATTCTTTCTATGATTAAATGCTGTCTGGACAAATTTGGCTAATTTTATCTGGTAATTTTGGTTTAAAATTTTAAACAAATAATCATTATCAATACTATTTGGGTGCTCCTTGTACACATTATCAAAATATTTTTTCCTAACAATATTATACCGCATTTATATGTTCAATAAGGGACACCCTTAAATCATGGTTGTTAACCGTCCATCCACCTACATTGATGTGACTAAATTTAATTGTGTGTTCAATAGACCGGGTCGCTTCCTATCCAGAGTCTTCATCCACCGGGTCGTGCTGCACGTGATGCGGTGCATTCTCTTCCGTCTGCGTTTTCTTGACAATGCAACCACTAGCAGTAATTCGGTACTGTTTTCCATCTAACTAACAAGCTAACTAAAGCTACCTGAGGTAGGTAAATAAAGCTATGGTAGGTAATTCTACCTACGTAGCTAAATGTACTGATTGTACTGGACCACTATGGTTCTAACAGGTCCAATACAATCAGTACATTTACTACGTAGGTAGAACTAGAAAACTGACCAGTCAGCAAGGGCCCCGCCATGGGGTAGAATTAAAAGGGTGCAGCTTACAGAATGATTAATAAATGTACAAAGAAAAAGCAACAGCAACTGTATTCTTAAAATTTCAACATAATTCCTGAATATTCAAAAACCTGAAAATAATATTCTTGTATTTACATTAGGCAGTAAAGAACAACTTAACATTGAATTTATATTTAAACAATTATGAATCTTGTGTTATATAAAATGCCAGCCTTCAATGAATGCAAATATCATGAAGGCTTGACCTTAACTTCAAACAAACAGCAGTTGCAGACAAAGGTTTTCATTAATCTTAAAGTGACAGATAAAGAGAAGCCTACTAAATTTTCTGCAGCAGGCTAGATAATTAATCCCAAGGGATTAATTGTACCTCTCTCATCATTTTCTTCTAAAGTTACAATAAGAACTTTTTCAGTATTAATGATAGAATGGGGTTTTTATACAACTACATTAAAAATTAAAAACATTCTTGAATTAATATATTTAAAAAAAAAAAAAAAGGGAAAAAAGTGAAAAAAAAGTACCCTGGAAATCAAAAAATCTTCTTTAATCTATTTCTTTTTTTAGGATTCAATGAAATCATAACTATCAAACAAAAATAAATAATAAAAATTTATATTTAAATCCACATTTCAGAGTGTTCATAGCATTCCAAATTGATTTAACTTCAAAACAAACTTCATTTGCAGACAGAGGTGATAATTAATCTCAATGTGACAGATAAAGATAATGCTCTGGATTTTCTTCAGGAGGAAAGCTAATTAATCCCATGGGACTCCTAGTAGCATTCAGTTTACTGAATGGGAACATCTTCAGCAGTTATCTCTCTTTGCCAATGCATTCTTATATAAAGTTAAGGAATCTACCCCACCACCCCAGCTCCAAACCAAGGGACATAGAGAACCAAACTTAGCATCAAAATATGTATTTTTGCCTACTGAACTACCGTACCAAATTTGATCTTAATTGGGCAACCATAAAAAAAGTTGCCCGTTCATTCTTATGCATAGTTAAGGAATCTACCCCACCACCCCAGCTCCAAACTAGAAGACATAGAGAATCAAACTTAGCATCAAAATATGTATTTCTGCCTATTAAACTACCATACCAAATTTAAACTTGATTGGGCAACCATAAAAAAAGTTATTAGAAAAAAACAGAAAATTTGTGGACGGAAGAGTGACAGACGGACAGACAGACAGACAGACAGACGGACGGACGGACAGACAGAGTGATTACTATAGGGCACCCGCAAATCCTTGCGGGGCCCTAATTACCTACCATAGCTTTATTTACCTACCTCAGGTAGCTTTTTCACAATTCTGCTTTCCATTTAATAAAGACAAAGAAATCGAAGATGAACTCCCAAAAAATAGACGTATAGGCAAGTATATAATTTGTCTATATGTCTATTTTTTGGGAGTTCATCTTCGGTCCATGACGCTTTGTCCGACTTACAGGTGAGTTATTTATAAAGGTTAGTATTTCTTCATAAGTTCAATCCCTCTAATATAAGCTTAAAAAATACAACCGACTTATAGGCGGACAGACTTATAGGCTATATACAGTATATGAATATTAATATTCATCATTTGTCCTTTGTGTTTATACTAGGGATGTTTTAATAACTAAAAGCAGAGATAATTTATACATTGCTGTGTTTGAATACTTTTCAGAAAAAGATGCATTTCTACTGACACTGTCTGTGTAACTGTACAGCACCTTGTGTGCAGTAAGGCGTGAATGAGTATGATCACTTCACATTGTGTTGAATAATTACCGATCCATTATTTTAATCAGAAAATGCAGAAATGGTTAATCTTTGTTAGTTTTACTCAATTAGTAACATGATCTGTAGCGTTATGGTCAAAGACTATATATAACACCACAACGCTCCAGTTCTGCAGCTAAAAAAACACATCTTCAAGAGTGATTTTTTTTCATGAAATTGTTTTCAGATGAGTTTAAAGTTGAAATCATCACAGCATCAAAATGTGATTTTCTGCACATCCTGAGAAAAATGATAATTCAAGAAGCAAGTTTGATTTGGTGGCTAAATAAAGCAACTTCAGGTAGGTACCGTACTACCGTATATAACAGGTTGGGACCAATCGCCCAAATGGGATATAATAGTCCGTTTGGGATAAAATATCCCAAATGGGCTATAAATTTACAGTGCAAAAATTGAAAATTTTTATTATGGTTATAAATATCATAAATCCGCATCAGGACACTTAAAAAGGAATAACTTTTGGTTGACAAGTTTTCCTGTATGCCCATTGTTTAGGAGATTGATCCCTCGGAAGTTCCTTAACTTCTTGGGGATCAATCTTACAAACTGTGGGGTCGCAGAAAAACTTTCTTACCAAAAGTTATTCCTTTTTAAGTGTTTTGATGTGGATTTATGATATTGATTACCAAAATAAAAATTTTCAATTTTTTCACTGTAAATTTATGGCCCATTTGGGATATTATATCCAAAATGGACTATTAAACCCCATTTGGGCGATTGCTCCCAACCTGTATAAGCTATGTAGGTGATACTAAAGCTGCGATGCTAAAGCTAGTGATAGCCATACATGCCAACTTTCCCGATTTTTTCGGGAGACTACCGATTTTTAACCCTGTCTACCGCTTGTCTACCGATTATTTTTTTTTCTCCCATTTCTACCGATATTTCAAAAATCCGGAATTTTTACCGATTCGCTTTGAATAATACAGTATTTCCATGTGCAGAAAACATGGCTGTTTCAATGTTTATCGGTGGGATATCTGTTTATTGCCGCTGATAACAGGTAATCAACAAGGTGTCAACTGTGCTACCAGTCATAACAGAGGTTTTAATTGCTCCTGAACCTCATTAACAGTGTATTTTAACCGAGACAATTATGCCAGATGAGGAAATTTTAGAAATACACACGACGCTGGATACAAACTGACAAACTTGTGAGAGTTCACACTTTACAGCAAACTTTGACAGTATACGTATAAACCGTTTATAAAAGGTGTTAAGTTTTGGATTATTGCATTCCTCATTAAATTATAATCTACTTCATGGAAAAGACACTGCCAAAATCCAACATGGAAAAAATGTGCCTGCAAGTAAAAACTATTAGGACTGCCCAGAGTGATCAAAATAAAAAAGAAAGGAAAAGACCATGCCTTTTGCAGACTTTGATTGAAAAGTTAATTAAAATTACTTAATATTCCCTCTGATTAAGAAAAAAATAATTTAACAATATTTTGTATAACAGCTAGTAGCCTTATAAACTTTGTAATTTACCAACAGACAATGAACAGTTCAACTTATTTGTATACAGTTTAAATGTAAAAATATGTTAACTTTGTGTATCACATTCTTCAAGACAAAGGGTATATTTATCTTAATATAAACATATTAAATAATTTTGAATAAAATTGTCTTCTTTTTTTTTTTTAATTTAAAATGATATTGTATTTGTGCTTTTATTTAGGTTGATAGAGAAGTAGTAATAATATATGATATAATTAAGGTAGTAGATTGATAATTTAGAAAAAACAACCTACAAAAAGTTATATCACGACAAAACGCCGCGAATTAGGAACTTTTAAAAATGTCGTTACGCGCAATCTCCCCCAAGAGAATTTTCAAAAGTTGGCATGTATGGTGATAGCCTAGTAGTAATAGTACCCAGACCTGTGTATTAGTCCTTTGTAGAGATACTTACATCTTTAGCGTTTCCAAGAACACAAACACATCGTCCCTGAAAACTTGATAACATTTTCCCGTTCACCCTTGGTTTAGAGAAATCAGACATGTTTGGATGTAAGAAACAAAACAAAACGGTTACACGGTCAGTTATGAAGAGAAACCGCGGGAAATTAGTTGATCAATGTTTGTGAGACGCTTTAAAAAATGTTACAAACCTAACCCGACTTAATTATGGTCAATGAAAACAGAAAGTACGAAGAATCTCTATATAATAAATTGATTTTAATTTTTTTGAAAAATCGAAATAATATTTCCTTGCACTCTCCCGACAGGATTGACCATGTGGATTAGGACATTTCTTTGGAAAAATATCTCATACACCGTAATATACAGATTTTTCTTTTACCTTCTTAAGATTATATTAAGTATCTCAAAAAAGGCTTTAGAACCATCGTGTTAAGGCGGTCAAAAAGTAACTGGGAACCAGTGGCGGATTTAAGGGGGGGCGCACCCGGCGCGCGCCCCCCCTAAAATTTTCAAAGTTAGCGTAAATCAAATATGTTTACTTGGTAGACCTCATTTTCACCCTTCAAAATCTCTAGAATCCAGGAGCTTCCGGGGGCTTCGCCCCCTGGCCCCACCAGGGCTTTGGTAAACCTCATTTTAACCCTTCAAAATCTTAAAATCCAGGAGCTTCCGGGGGCTTCGCCCCCTGGGCCCCCACCAGGACTTTGCCCTGGACCCACTGGGGGCCTCAAGGCGGCCCCCAGACCCCTTGCCTAATTTTGGCGCCCCCCCTAACTCCAAAACCTGGATCCGCGCCTGGGAACTATACAGAACTCGTCTTACATTTTACACAGCACTACAAAATTGGTGCCGCTACATGGTGTCATATGTAAGATGTGCAAAAATGAAAAAATGACATAAACTATAATCGTGTGGTAGGCTTTGGATTCATTTATTATCGGTAAGTAATCGTATCTCACAACAAGCTGTGTTTGTAAAAATTGATGCCCCAATATGACAGATAATGGTGAGGGATGAAGTTTCTCAAATGCAAGTCAGACTCCAAGGTCAAGGTCAGGAGGACAATCTTGTTTGTATCCAAAGGAAGGTTTTGTCATAAGTAATAAAATATGAAATTGAAATATGAAAGACAAAGTACTAGAGACCTATATAGTGAGCAAGTTTACTAAATGTTCAAAATTTATGGCCAAAGTTAAAACTCTGAGGTCAAGGTCAAAAGGTCAAATTTGGTGGTACTTAGAGAAAGGTCTTACCACAAGGAATACACATGTGAAAGCCTCTAGCACTAACTATTGTTAAGGTCAGTGGCGGATCCAAATGGGGTTAACGGGGGTTGCAACCTCTCCATTAGCTGCAGAACTGTAGCGTTTTGGTTTTATATATTTGTCTTTGACCATATTTAAAACCATAACGCTACAGTTCTGCAGCTACCTCCCCTCTGGATTGCAAAAAAGAGATAGAAGAAAGTCCCAAATTCTTCTGTGTTTACTACAGAAGATGTTCAGTGAAAGCCCAATATTGTATGTTGTAATATATATAAAATATTCGGTTGTGAGAACAGCATGAAACCCTTATCTCTTTACAAAATAGGATTTTTCGGGTTCGGAGTCTAGATTTATTTTCCTTTCTTTTTCAAAAACTCTGAGGTAATCCATACAAGTATTTTTCCCAGGTTGATCAACCTAGCTTGCTCCACCCTGTATCCTACTGAGTTATTTAACCAATGTATGTATGTAAAACATACGCTATAATAACTCTTTTCCTTTTCACCCCCTCCCCTTCAACCCCCCCCCCCCCCGAAGAAATATTCTAGATCCGCACCTGCTTTTTCACGCCCCCGTAATCGAAGATTCGGGGTTATATAGTTTTTGCACCGTCCGTCCATCTGTCTCTGTTTATCTGTATTTCTGTCTGACCGCAAAACTTTACCATTGTCCATAACTTTTGAGTGCGTGGGCCTATGGTTTTCATATTTCACAGATGTATTCCTTGTGATAAGACCTAGGGTTATCATATTTCATAGGTGTATTCCTTGTGACAAAACCTATCAATTCCCTTGGATACAACGATTTTTTACTTTGACATTTAACTTGCATTTGAGAAACTTCAGCCCTCGCCATTAGTTGTCACACCGTGGCATCAGTGTTTAAGTTAAAGGCCAAGAGATAAAGTTTGATGAAATTTGGTGATACCCCAAACAAGGTCTTGTCACAAGAAATACACCTGTCAAATATGAAAGTCATAGTACGTCCCACCTCACTCAAATTTTATGGCCAGAGTTAAAGTTTTTAGGGGACAACAGCTAAACAGACAGACGGACGGACAGGACAAAAACGATATACCTCCCGAATCTTTGATTACTGGGGCATAAAAATTATCAGTTGGTCGAAGGTACCCATTCTTAAGGCCCCTGTGCCTTTGGTACATGTACCTCCATCATCCCTTAAGTTAAGGTAACCATATTTTACCATATACTATATTTTTTTTCAAAATCCCGGCTTTGAATAACAAACGTCATACATGAGACACATTTTTAAAACAATGATTTAATAAAACAATTCACATGCCTTTGGATCGCTTTAATCGACTGACAAAATTTGGGCCATGAAAATAAGTGTATATATATACCCCGGTTTGTAGTGACATATTTTGTGTAATTTGCTGATACGTAGAAAATCAAATTACCAAATTGACAACATGTTTACAAACTTAATTTTTTAAAATTTAATTCACAAATAAATACTATTGTACGAGGGCCGTTCAAAAATTACGCGGACTGTGCTATTATTTACTCTTACAGACGTCATATAGATATGAAATTTCACAGAGATATGTATCTTAAAGATTCCAATAAATTTTTAGCAAACTTTCTGTATTTTAAAAGAATTCTACTAAAATTATCGGCACGTTCATATCGCTGATGGAGAGGTAAAGCATTACAAAAAAATTGAAGCAAAAGCATGCAGACTCCAAAATTTAACTCATTAATTTTCTATAATTCGCGATATTTTTCGACAATTTTCTCAAATGAATCTTTAAATTGTTCTATTACTATGTATTTAGATTTCTGACGTGATATTTGAAGTAATAACAGAAATATAGTGATTTTTCTCTGATGCGATTCCCGTGAAAACAACTGTGAAAATGACGTCTCCTGAATTGACGGCGCACCACACTTTTGTTAAATGATGTAATGCTCGAGATATCGCCAACATAGATCCAAAATATGTAGTAAACTAGGGTATCCGTGACATCCGTCCACAAATAGCAAATTGAAATTTTAGACCGTTAGACCTCTGTGAAAAGGCTGTACGGGAGGACGGGAAGATTATCGACGAAAACTTTATCCGGACTGTAAAGAACATGATTGAGAGTCACCAATATCACACTAAATTTCATAAATACCTGCAGTATTAGGTTTTAAAACAAAAAAGAATATTCTTTACTTGTTTGATAGATTTTAAGCTTGACAAGAAATGATGTTTGGATGTTGAGTAGACAAGGTAACCAGGCGCGGATCCAGGAATTGAAGTTGGGGGGGGGGCGCCAAAAGTAGGCAAGGGGTCTGGGGGCCGCCTTGAGGCCCCCAGTGGGTCCAGGTCAAAGCCCTGGTGGGGGCTCAGGGGGCGAAGCCCCCGGAAGCTCCTGGATTCTAGAGATTTTGTAGAGTAAAAATGAGGTTTACCGAGTAGACATATATTTACATTTTCTAGACAAAACTGTGATTTACGTCAACTTTGACAATTTTAGGGGGGGGGGCGCCGGGTGCGCCCCCCTTAAATCCGCCACTGGTAACTCAAACTGTACATGAACTCTTGGGAAAATGTTAAGAAAATGAAAGCTCAATCATATATATTTTTTTTATAACGCCTGTGACGTCGAAGATTTTGCTGCTCCGTGACTTACTGATATGTCCTGAAAAATCACTCAAAATTGATACCAATTTACAACATTTTGATATGAAATTTTGAAGACCATATAAGTAAAGATTCTTTTATATTATGTGTGATATTTTGTCCGATTATGTCGTCAAATATTTTTTCTGTGCAACAAGTCCGCGTAATTTTTGAACGGCCCTCGTATTTCCGTATAGAATGTAAGGGGTTTGTATAAATACATGCATTGAGCGCACAGCTATATACCTTGACATTTAAAGCGCGTCGTCAGAATTGTGGAGTTCACAAAAACTGACAGCTTTTATTAATGCAGTGGAAATCTAGTAAAAATGAAGGAAGTATATTATATCTTCAGTGTTCTGGCTTTACTTGGGGTCACAGAGGGAGGACAGAATGACACCTGTCGTTACAGAAGCCTGGCTTCCTCGCCAAACCAAACCAGGTGGGTATTCTATTACCTCTTCAAGACAACAATTTTTTTAAAAGTATAACGAACACAAGATCACCAAGGTAAAGTAGTCGACTTGCAATCAATCAATGATTTAAAAAAAATGGATAAATATCATGATTTCTTATCTTAAATATTCTTTTAAAAACATCTTTTTTTTTATCTTCCTGCACACGAAGAATAACGACGTGACGATTTTATTTTGTTTTACTTTCTTTTCACTGATAACCAAGTTGTCCTATATTAGTCATGACCATGGTTCTTGGTTCAGATGTCTCCGCTTTAAATAATTGAATAATTACTACAGTGAATTGACATGGACCATAGGATAAACCATTGGACATTAACTGACCGTGATTTTGGTCAATATATACAACACCAGCACTGTCGTGTAAAGCAGATATGAGAAATAAAGTAATTCTAACTTAAAGAGACAAGTCAACTGGTCAGATTGAGAACAAAATAATTTTGACCCAAGAATCATGGTCATATGCGAATTAATGACGATCGGAACTTCCATTTGCAAAAGGTCGTTTATAAGACAACTTAATTTTTTTTTTTTACCAAGAACAAGTTTTCTAGTCCAACAATTAGTATTTTGAATGCATGATCACAATTAGGCCATTCCAAGTTTTTTCTCTGTTTGGCGTCCACTCATCGTTCAAAAACCTACCTACCTATTCGCAAAAAACACACAAGCCAAAACATAAAACACAAGCTTAAAAGTCATAAAAATGACGTCCTTCAAATGATTTGATCTAACTAAACTGCTTTAATAGAAGAAATACCTATTCTTAAGCAAAAACAACGGATTAAATGCTTACAATACATCCAATATAAATTACTGTACAGAATTATTTGGAGAAATTTACAAAATTAAAAAATTTCGACTAAATTTATCAATTTCAAGACTCCTGTTGTTGTGTTTTTTTTTCTCATATGGGGTGTCAAAAACCAAGGCGCACGCGGACGCTAAACATAGACAACACTTGGAATGGCCCTATTTGATAACAAAAAAAGTTCAAGATTAATAAGAACAAAGTTTCTAGTCCAAAATTTAGTATTTTGAATGCATGAGCACAACTGCCTGATAACAATTTAAAAAAAAAGTTCAAGATGCCCATAGACCATGACATTCATCAGCGCTTATATTATGAGTTTTCTCTCAATATAAATTCCTGAATCTGACCAAGGGAACTACTCTGTGCAAAGGGGCATGAAATGCATTTGTTACAATTTCTACCCATTGAAATTCTGTATAAAATAGCAAAAGCGTCAATTGGCAACTAAGCCCCACCCTAAAATTTGATCATAACCCAGAAATGGTCACATTTTTTCCTTCATTGTAGGGAAGAACCTACAGTTAGAAGGTTAGAAAAACTTCTGTCCCACAACTCGCTATACTATCTCTTTGTAGACTTACAATCAAAATCTATGTTTTTTTCCTATATATATTACTCTTTTTTGAATTAGAAAAAAATTCTACTTTTGCATTATCAGCACAGTAAATTTAGAAGAATTCTTAAGGTCAACATCCATATTCATCTTTAAAAAACGTTTTGCATTTTGATCGTCATCAACTTATTTGTAGATATACATTTTGACTAGAACATTTATTTTTCTTTGTTTCTATAATCAAAGTTCTGAGCGTGAGAATTAATTATTTGTAATATGTTATCAGTAACTTTATGGAATATGTATAGCAATAAACAGGCACGTAGCAACAGGGGGAGGGGGAGGGCTGCCCCCCCCCCACTTTTTTTCCCAACATTACTTTTACCATTGGAAATGTTAATTAAAAGGCTCCCCCCCCCCCCACGGAATTGATATCAAGGAATTGTAGTGGTGAATACAAAAAAATAGTACCGAAATAAGTTGGCACAGAAAAAAGTTGGCCTCTACCACCCCAATCACCTCCGAAATAGGATTTTTGAGTTTGGAAATTTTTTTTTTTTTGCTTGTCAACTTTTTCAAGTAAGAAAAATAATGTCTCTGGCTGGCCCCACTCTCAAAAACGATGCTACGTGGCTGCTAAATAATCTATTTAGTATACTTTCATAACTCTGGGTCAATATGAAACACCATTAATTTCCTGTTGAAGTTAATATTGTGCATAGAACATAATAGTTCTATTATATGTCTTTGTATTGTGCTATATCCATATTAATAACCTCAACCATTAAAATATATCTCAGGCAGAATATCTTTACCATATTTCATAAAACTGCATGAAATATGTTGAGATAACGAACAGTGTTTGACCTCAAAGCATTAAACATTACAAAATAGGAGAGGACCTCCAAAACATCAATTACCAAAAATAAAATCAATATGTATGCCGTGTGTCATAACGGGAAGTATTTTTTATATATATTTAAATAAATACAATAATAAGTTAAATGTATTTGCTGACAAGGTCATTATATCGATCATATACGAGTTGATGACTTGAAAGGAGACTGATGATATTCTTGCTTCATCAATTTGTTTGTCAAAAACTTACCTCGTTTCAGAAATTGTTCGTACGGCAATGTACTCTTCCGTGAATCAACTGAGAGATTAAAACTCCGTTTGCAGGTGACAAAAATATATTGCTGCATTGTATTGTGCTATATCCATATTAATAACCGAACCATTCGAAAATATGAGTTGATATTCGAATATGAATTTAAGATTCGAATATTCATTTTCATATACAAGCATTTTGCATGAAAATCTGACAATTTTTATCAGAAATTGAATCAAAGTGTTTGACCAGCAATATGATTTGGTTAAAAACAAAATAAAAATACACTCCTCTTGGATTAAAAGGTGTGAAGAGTATCTATTAAATAATACAAATTATTCATTTGATCATTTAATTAGTGGTATAACAGTGTCCTAGAGTACCTACAATTAGTTCGTATTGTTGAAAGGACACATTTTTACAGTAAAGACATGGATCCCTTGTTTATATATGCTTGTATATCATTTAAAATCAATAGAAAGAAATTAATTAGCTAAAAGTAATTGCTTTTAATTTTTCTCCATTAGATAATTGTTCTGCATGGTAAAACTCTGTAGGGGTTACCAGTGTAGACTTTTGTAAGACAATTAATTAATCTTGAAGTTACTAAAAGAATTTTTTGAATTGTCAAAAGAAACATATTACATTTTGGATATTAGATTTTCAAGATTTCGAAAATATAACAACTGTGCATTTACAAAACTTTATATGAATTTTTATTCCAAAATGGTATAACTGCTTTACAAAAGAGTAAAGATGTATACATATTATAATGCAGGATGTATTAATTTCATCGAATATTCGAATATATTCGAATACTACTACCGAATATTCGAATATCAATTATTGACAATTTTGACGTCCCTACGAGGAAGTTTACGATTTAAAAAGTTAAGTCATCACGTTTATCATAAAGCTTTGGCATTTTCTTTAGTATGTAATTTCATACTTTGTTCACAATACAGTGTTTACAATGCTTTAGCCTGTAGGAGCATGTTATCCCCATAATATTACCAGAATATTAAAAAACAATAGAACACGAAAGTAATTTCAACCACTTGATATTGCAGCATCTCCCCCATCTTGGAAAAACATGAATCCGCCCTGCTGATGATTCTTGGTTTCGCTGGATTTTCCATTTTCTTGGCAATAATACACAACACCATCAGACGCGTTGTATACAGGGACGCCCACAGTCTAGACACGGTGTTTGACGCCGGCGGAAAAGTCACGTTAAGTTTAACGGCAGTCACCGTGACGTCACAACTTCTGTGGCCGGCAGATTTTCTACAGATCACCACTGTCACAATAACTGTAATTATCAACCACGGTATCAACCAAACTTCGTAATTTGTTACAAATTTTAAAGATTTTTGAAGAACGCATTTTAGTATACCGCATGTAGATTACACGGTAGAATACCGGGGACATTTGATTTTGAATCAATTTACTCATACTTCTAACATCTCCTTATTTTTTTCAGAGTGGTTTAGGAGGGTGCTTATTCTTCGTGTTGGGCATTGTTCTTGATATTCTTCTCTTTCCAATATTGTCAGTCGAACTCAAAACTAAAGCTCCTGGTGCTAAGACATTTCTACAGGTATGTTTCAGACAATTAGACAAGTAAATTCAACTTCTGACTTTATCATGTTTATGACACCAACACCAATATGGTTTAGAGGTAGAGAATTTACTTTAAATATTATAGTATGTTTCAAAAAAACTATATCAACTCTTAAGTATTATGCACCATGATATTAATATGGAAGCATCCTAAGTAAGGCATCTTCGCTAGCCAAAGGTTTCTGATACGCTACTCTCCTTGGCATACGGTGTTGATAGAAATCGGTTTTTTTTTTCTCGAGTTCTGATTGGGATTCAGTACACCCGGTCGACCAATCAGCAATTGTTTTTTGTAAATGATGATAAATGATGAAAATAGTAAACAACGAGCTGTAAGATAAAATCATTAAAATGCAATTCTATGAATAGCTTTGGTGTCATCCAATATCTTCTAAATATGTGATTAAGAATCTACATTGAAGCTTCAGATTTGCTATAAATAATAAATAAACATAACTCAATTATTGCTTCATAATTATTCTTGAAAAAAACTTTTGATTTCATTTTTTTTAAACATGTTTCTTTATTTCTGTCGATGACGCAATCTGTGCGTACCTGATAGATTCGTGATCATGTGACGGAAAATAATCCCGTCTTTTGACTTCACCGTATGCATGTGGGGTCAGGACCCCCCCCCCCTGGAATTTACCAGGTTAAAGAATGTATATACTAAAACAAGAAAAAAGTTACCACGGACCCCCCCTGGAAAACGGTGGTAAACGCGAATATGTGTGAAATAGGTATGAAAAGTGAGAATTTGAGGCAATACAAGTCACCACTCCCCCCCCCCCCCCCCAACTTTATCGGTTTTTGACTTTTGGGCGTTTTTTGGTTTTTTTTTTTTTTTTTTTTTGCTTGTCAAGAAATTTCTGGGATTGGATTTTTTTTTTTTTGAAAAAACTTCACCGTATGCCAACGGTTCATGAGGAGAGTAGCGAATCAGAAACCCTTGGCTAGCGAAGATGAAGTAAGGTAGTGTAAATTGCAGTTTGTTTATATCATGACCCCCAGGGGAAGGGTGGCCAATATGGACAATCTGATCATATTCATATTTTTTGCATTCTTCAAAAGATCTCTAAACCTTAACTTTGCAACTGGTAATTACTTCCGTTCACATATACTGATATAGACACCGCTTCTACTACGATCAAAGAGTGGCCGAAAACGTGGCCGATCGTGACAAATCGCAGGAGAAACGTAGTGGAGTCCTCATAAGCGCATTATAATAGAGGTAAGGTCTTCGTGATCGGAGAGCTCCACGATCTCGCCACGTTTATTTTGAATATGCTCTAAAGTGTAACGGGATCGTGGCTAACAAGAATCGGGGTAAAGTCGTGAAAAGAGCGTAGCAGAAGCGCCGTAATCGTACAAGCAGCGGTAAGAATCCTGAAGAGATCTTCGTGATCGTAGTAAAAGCGCAGTAAAAGCCTAGGAACTTTTCAAGTAACCACGTTCACACAGAGCTGCGACTTAACGACGATCATCCCGATCAAGCCACGACCTGAAAAAGTTTAAAATTGGGGTAAATTGGTGCCGATCGGCATCTAAATCGAGCAATTTGGCAAATTATGGTCTTCATTAAGACCGTACTACGATGCCCCTATGTTAAACGCGCTGCTTACACGCTTCCACTAGGATGTTACGCAGACCGTACGTTGCCGACCAGCGACTGTGTTTACTGCGTTTACGATACGATACCGCTACGACATTCAAGATCATACTACGACGCAACGCAGACCTAGATGACTGTACGACGATATCGCTACGGTAGTGTTGATCATATTACGCTTCTTGTACGATTTTGGCGATGATGCATGTATATCTTGCAACCGCAGATTTTTCTAGTACGATTTTGGCAATGATGCATACCGGGGGTATATCTTACAACCGCAGTGTTTTCATGGCCTTTACCATGTGGTTTATAGGACATTTTCAATTGTAACTGTAATAAGATGTGAAAAGTTCGAAGTCTCAACTGCAAATGATCGCTAAGTACAGTGTCACCCTTAACATGTAGTTGACAGATGATGATTGGTCAAACATCAGCGCTCTAAAAATAATCTGCTGTCTGATAGATCGTGTTATGATCGGCGTATGGTCATTTTAGGTCTTCGTATGATCGCCAGGAACGTAGAGAGAACGTACTGGGAGCGTTGTAGGAGCGTACTTGATGTTACTACGCTTTTACTAAGGTCACGAAGATCACTCCACGATGCTTTCGCACTGCTTGTACTATAACGGCGCTTCTACTACGCTCTATTTACGACTTAATCCCGATTCTAGTCGGCCACGATCCCGCTACGCTTGTTTTGAGCATGTTCAAAATAAGCGTGGCGAGAGCGTAAAACTCTCCGATCATGAAGACCCTACCCCGATCATACTGCGGTTATGAAGACTCGTCACGTTTTCGGCCACGCTTTGATCGTAGTAGAAGCGGCGTCTATGTGTGAACGAGGGGTAAGCTCCTACAGCGCTCCAACTATGTTCTTACAACGTCCCCACTACCATCTCACTACGTTCCTGACGATCCTACGAAGACCTAAAATAAACTTATGTCGATCATAGCACAACCTAACAGGCAGCAGTTTGTTTTTGTGTCGCTGATATTTAACCAATCATCATCTGTCAACTACATGTAAATGGTGACACTGTGCTTGGCGATCATTTTGAGACTTCGAACTTTTCACATCTTGTTACAGTTACAGTTGAAAATGCCCCGTAAATCACGTGGTAAAGGCCGTGAAAAATCTTCGGTTGCAAGATTTTTGGTATATGCATCATCGCCAAAATCATACAAGAAGCGTAATGCAATCGTAATATGGTCGGCACCACCGTAGAGATATCGTTGTACAGTCATATAAGTCTGTCTAGCGTCGTAGTGTGATTGGCAGGGTAGCGTAAACGCAGTAAACACAGTCGCTGGTCGGCAATGGTCTGCGTAACATCGTAGTAGAAGCGTGTTTGCGGGGCGTTTGACGTATAGGGGCATCGTAGTATGGTCATTATGAAGACCACAACTTGCCAAATTGCTCGATGTTGATGCCGATCCAAAACTTCAGATCAAGGCTTGATCGGAATGATCTTCGTAAATTGCAGCTCTGTGTGAACAGGAAGTAGGTATATAATATGATTAATATTTAATGCACTTTAACTCTTTTTTCCAGATAGTTTATACAAGGTTTGGGAAACCTGCTCACATCGTCTTCTGTTGCATCGCCCTGTTCGCCAACATCGTGACGATTACAGCTCTTCTCGTGGCTGGCAGATCAGCCATTGGTGTCCTTACAAAAGACGCCACAGATGAATTCATCGCATTCGTCTTGTCTGTCTTGTTTGGTTCCTATTGCTTTCTTGGTGGTATCGGTACAACATTTTATATTTCGTATTTCAATACTGCGATCACATTTGTAAGTTTGATTGTAATAGTTGTCAGTATAGCTTACACGGGTAACATAAATGAAGACATGTCCAAGTATGTCTCGATAGATGCCATGTATGATGCTATGTCTTGTATAAAAGCAAAGGATGGAAACTATGAAGATTCTTTGATAACTTTTCGAACACGATCTGGAGCTATATACGGTTTATCTTTGTTCTTCATGGCCACATCTCTGAGTTTTATTGATCAAGCTAACTGGCAGAGTAGAATTGCCGCCAAACCTGTGCAGGGCGTCATCGGATTCTTTATAGCGGCCATTATGTTTTTCTGTCTCCCTGCAACCATTGCTCTACCAGCAACTCTTACGTACGCTTCAATGGCTTACGAGAATGGAACGCACCTGCTGTCCCAAAACGAAATAATTAATGGTAAGGAAACTGAGATTAAGATAAACTGCTTTTAAAAAATAGGTTACATGTTTTATTGTTTTCTTTTTAATATATTATTTACACAGGTTACATTACACCATTTGTGATAGAGAAAATCATGGGTTCAACTGGAGCATATCTCCTCATAACCTCCATTACCATGGCTCTTATGTCAACAGGATCTGGCGAAATCATGGCGGTGGCGTCCATTATTGTGTACGACATTTACAAGGTCTACATAAACCCTTTTAGGTACATTCATATACATGTATAGACGATGTCAGATTCCTTCAAAGTCATAGATGTTTTACGTTGTTTTTCAATTATTGTGCAATAGAAAGTAGTAGCAAGTTCTTTTTGTCTTCGAATATGCATGTATTTCAAGTATAAAGCTAGATGTAACTTTTTCTTTGTTATATACATTGTAAATGTATTCTTCAGTTTACGTATTCCACTTTGAAAATTGCATTTTTAGACGACTATTGACACCAACCACCTGTGTCTTGTGTGGACGCCAGAAAGTGAGTGGTCAGGGCGAACTTTGTAGGTGTTCTTCATCTCTGAACTGTGCAGCATGTCTAAAGGATCTTGTCAAGAAAGAGCACACGAGAGACTATGCCGTGCAGTACACGTGTTCAGTGCATGGCGATTATCGCCATTATGAAGACCTTCTGATGCACTATAAAAGTTGGTGCATTGTCTGGGTCACCATAGCAATCATTCCTTTTTCACTTGTAATATATGCCAGCAATATCAATTTAACGTGGGTTATATTTTTTCTGCAAGGAACACTTAGCCCATGCGCCCTTCCATTGTTACTAGCTATAATCTGGACACGCTGCACGTCGTCTGGAGTAATTGTAGGTAAGTTTTAATCAGATTTTACCATTCATGTTTCAGCATAATCAAGTTAACGATGACAAGGGTTTTGTTGTAGCATACCATTTGTTTTATAAGACATTTTCTTTTGTAGGTAGTCTTGTAGGACTGCTAGGCTATTTGGTGGCTAATTTCGTCGTTTCGGAGGTAGTGTACGACGGAGGATTATCTAACTTCTTTATCAACACTGTCCAAGACTACAGTCTTTTAGCAGGCTGTGTGACTGGAATTCTACTAAGCAGTTTGGGAACAACTGTGACCTCATTAATGACTCACAAAATAAAATCTCAGGAAGATGTATCGCGTGAATGGGAGAAAACGATCTCCATTGACAACCCATTGAATCCATGGCGACGCCTGTATGAAAAAGAGCTGGCGGAGTTTCCTCCAGGAACAAAACCAACAGCAGCTGTAATGGCCGAAATATTCCGTTCGGCGCGAAAAGTCGCTATCTTTGGGGGCTTTACATTCGTTTTCCTATTCTTAGTTGTAATTCCCGCTGTTGTGACGTCATTTGATGTTTTGACCCGCGATCAGTTTTCTTCCTATTTAACCTTTTGTTATGTTATTTGTTTTATGGGAGCTGTATTTGTCGTTCTTGCTCCACCAGTGGAAGAAATGTATCAGATTATCAAAGCATGGAAAAGTTCTAAACAAAAGGACAACCTACACATAAAGAATCCGGAAATTGAACAAAGCCGACTTTAATATAGGACAAAAATTGCATACATGTGAATTTCTTTTTTTCGTGTGTGTGTGTAATCATAATAGAATCCAGGACAACTCAGGTGAATTATTAGGTTTCAGGACTTACAAATTAACAGTCTGTAAGTTGTACCTTACTCTGATTTACAGTCCCTTTTTTAAACAATATTCAGTTTCTTTCCTCTATTTGGAATTCTTAAGTTTCTTTATTTTAAAAGTAGCATGTGTTATTTCCCTGCTGCTTGAAAGATAACTTTGGCAAGTTCTATACTGATAAATGAAAATATTTAAGCCTACTTCACTCTCTATAGAAAGTTCGGGTTTATTGGGTTTTTTTTTAATTCCTCACACATCTTCAGTCCTAAAATCCCTCTTACATTTCAAAAAGTCCTGTAGAACCTTCTCTCTATTATTTTATTTTATTTTTTTGGTGGTAACCAAAACAATCTTTTGGATGGTGTCTAAGATTTGCAATATTAAGGTTTGGGAGTTTATATGCACATCCTCAGGGGCAAATTGTGGACGGAAAACGACATTTATCTACAATTTCAAATCGGTCCTAAATGTATGCAGTATGTACACATAGTTTTTGTGTCGCCTGAGCAGAGCGGCACTACGGGATCAATTTTCCCGGCAGCCATCTGTGTCCGTATGTCACGCCATATATCCCGAGAACTGTAGGAGCAGTGACCTATATAATTAGTATATAGGTCCCTGGTAGGAGGTATGTGGATATGACATTTTGCACATATACTAGTACTGCTATGCGCTATAGCTTTTGTAAATTACTATGGTTACCGACCTCGCAAATTTTGACCTTTGACCTACTGGCTCTTGTAGCCGATATGTGGTATAATTTTTTTCAAATTTAAGATACAAGTATATGTTATTTAGCAGTTACTTTGTTTGTGATAAGAAAATACTATCGTTACAATCGACTTGACACTTTAACCCCCCCCCCCCCCCCCCGAAAAAAAAAATCAAAGGCCTGAAGAGCGTGCTTTACATGGATGTAAAATGTAAGGAAATGTAATATACTACAAAATTGTTTTCCCAGAAATTTTTTAATGCAAGGGGTTGGGGGGGGGGGTCGCTGAATTGACGGCCTGAGGCGTTTCTTGGCAGTTGAGTTTATTTTATATAAATTCATATTTAAATGAAAAATAAAAATTCACTAATAGATTCTTTTTTTTTTTTTTTAAAAAAAGGTAAATATATATTTTTAACAAATTGTCATTTTTTACTTAAAATTATTCAACAATAGAGTTTTTTTATATAAAGAGATCTAATCACGAAAAATCGTTCTATTTAAATTTTCTATAAAGCCACTGTCTTTTTACGGTTTTATGTATTGTGCTATTTTTGCTATCTGCAAATAGGCCCCTAATTACCCTCCCTTATTTTTTTATGTATCTACTCTTGCAGTCATCTTGAAACTTTTTGTTCTCATTATGTAGCACCAATGTAATGCTTACTGCATGTAGATATTGTCACTTGGAGCGCTTCTGAATATATAGGTCACTGTGTATTAGAAGTATATGCGTTTGAACTAAGTGCTTTCCAGAGTTCATAAAGTAAATTCATAAACATTGATAATGTTAATCACACGTTTCATTTTCAGTACATTAATGCAAAAAAAAATGTCTTAAATATTATGTGTTTAAATAATGAATCTTTTTTTAATGTCGGAGCATCAATGTTATTTATAGAACGACAAGTGAATGTTGGAAAACCCCACATGTGCATCAACAAGTGTATTGCTTTTACCGTTCGTACTATTTGACAGCCATCAATTACATTTTTATGGTTATTAATTAATACTTTTATCAACTACAAGCCTGACACTTAGTAATATACCAGTAATTAAACTGCAATGAACAAAAATTGACAGCTAGGCTATTGCATCATACCCCGTACCGCGATACGCATCGAGTTCACAACATTGAGTTGGCGGGAGATCGTGATCGCGTTACCGCCAAGCAAAAACGGCCTTAGGAAATCACTGCTTTTAGCAGCTGCTTAAACAGTTTGTAAGGTAAAATACATTTAATCTGTATTCCTACGAACTATCTGGCGCGACAACGTACTCCCGACACAGTTCTCTTTCTTTAATTTAGATCGACTTATCTACACGGTGGCGCTGTTGACACATACGGTCAGAAGATATTCTTCCGTGTCCTCACAAGAGTTTATTTAATTTAGTTTCTTTATTTGGTTTATCTTGTCTTCAGTAGCGAAAATTAAATGAAAACATCAAGGTTTTTGATTAAGAACTTGGTGAGTAATTTTCACAACAGAGGTAGAATAGAATTAAAGAAAAGACAAGGACTATTTTATCTTGCTCATGTTTATTCTTCCAACATTGTCCAAATTATTTGAAAAACACATAGCCAATCAACTCCGGGAATTTACTACTACCTTTGATCTTATATATAAATCACAATCTGGTTTTCGAGAGTTTCATTCCTGTCAAACAGCATTAACAAAACTAACAGACAATTGGTTGCAAGCTATGGATCAAGGAAATCTTGTAGGGATAACTTTTCTAGACTTTAGTAAAGCATTCGATTTAGTCAATCACGATATTCTGATAAACAAACTTAAGTTGTATCACTTTGACCAAATGTCAATTAAATGGTTTTATTCCTATTTGAGCTCCAGAACACAATGTGTAAAATTAGGTACTTATTCCTCTAAATTTATGCCCGTCACAGCAGGTGTGCCACAAGGTTCTATTTTAGGGCCACTTTTATTTTTACTATATATAAATGATCTTCCTCTACATGTAAATAATACAGATATTGATTTGTTTGCTGATGATGCAACTTTACATACATATCATAATAATGTGCATTCTATTGAAAATGCCCTAAATGTTGATTTGTGTGAAATTGAAGACTGGTGTTCTAGAAATCAAATGGTGTTGAATATTGAGAAGACAAAATGTATGCTTATGGGGACTCAACATAGAAAATCTAAATTAACATCTTCAAAATTTGATTTGTGTGTATCAGACAAAGTTCTTAAAAATGTTGAATCAGAAAAACTCTTGGGAGTACATATTGATCATTCATTGCGCAATATTAGTCATATTGATTCTGTGTGCAAGTCCTTGACGTATAAACTATTTACATTACGTAAAATTAAAAAATTTCTCCCATTACACACGCGGAAACTTTTTTATAATGCATACATTCTGCCATCTTTAAATTATTATGGGGCAATGCTCCAGGTGCTGGCATAGAAAGAGTTTTTAAATTACAAAAAAGAGCAGCAAGAATTATATTAGATGCGGCACCAGATGCTCCATCACAACCATTATTTGTGAAACTTGATTGGCTGACTATATATGAATTAATAGATTTTCACAAATACATACTGCTTTATAAAACACTTCATGGTATGACACCTGATTATCTGAGAGACTCGTTTGAATTTATTTCCTCCAAAAATTATGTTTTACGTTCTGAATCCAATTATGACCTTAGTCTACCAAAGTATCGAACAAATCTGTTTAAAAATTCTTTTCAATATTCAGGCGTTAATTTATGGAACAAATTACCTCTACATGTACGTTTTTCCCCAACTGTACAATCCTTTCGTAAAAATGTGGAAAAATTTATCATCAATGGACGCAACATTTCCTAATTTGTAACTTGTTCTATTTTTTGATAATATATTGTATATACTTTCTTTTTTCAAATGTAATTCCTGTATGTAATATACTTGTAAATTTTCTGATTATTGTACTGTTGTATACATAATTGTACTATCCATGTATAGAGGGCCCCGAGGAAGACTAGTGCATTGCACTAATCGGGTTACCCTCTTTAAATAAAGTATTATTATTATTATTATTATTATTACTAGAATACACACGGAACTCTTTGCCGTAAAGATACACCGGGAGCTATATGGCTTCGTAAGCCATAAAAACGGGAAACAGAAAGGTTCATTCTCTATAAGGCCATTTTCCGGCCTACGATAAAATCGCTTTAAAATGTGATTTTATATAACTATTATCATTCTAGTTCATGATTTTGATGTTTGTTTTTCAACATCGATCATCTAAGTCACGTGATTTAGAAATAAAAAATGGCTGTCAGTTAAAGAAAAATTGAGGGTAGGTCTATTTAAATTAAGTTTTTATGCATAATTCTGAATGTAAATGATTAAAAATTGTTAATTTATGTCGGAAATACACCAGGCCTAAGTAATAAATTCGAAAATTCTTTAGATATAAGGTTTAAGATACTTTTTATGACAAGAATTCCGATACATCCACATTTTGCATATTTTGAACGAAAATCTTTTGCAAAATCACACTGAATGATGCTGAAATAAGTCTGATTTGCAATTTATTGAAAAGTATTATATCATAAATAATTATATTGTAAGTGTATATCATATCTATAGATGTGGTACTTATTTTACGCATAAAATAACCATTTTAGAAACGAGGTTTCTAAATTTCTATTATACTCTAAAAGTTATGTATCAAATGTTGAAAGCACTGAATGGATTTTAATTGTGATTAAATAAATCTGAAGTAGTAATTAAGAAAAGAAATTCAACAATTGCGAAAAAAAAATAAAGAATTAACAGCATAAGAATATCAATGAAAGTACTTGTTGAATATCCATATACATGTACATGTAAATAGTCAATACATATAACTCAGAGCGGTTGCATTAAAATATCCATCTCCAAGTAAAATGAAATAATGTTGAAAATGAATTTGCTTTTATTTAATTACTCGTGTTGCACGATACATTCAATTAAAAATGTCATATAAACTTTATGTATTTACATGTATAAAAGATGATACCCCCCCCCCCCCGTTAGCCCCCTCCCCTGTGCCTAACGGCACAACAGGAAATGGAGCAGAATTTTAACAGTTCCTTTAATTAACTATGCATATCAAATTCTGAAGTTTTCGTAAACACTAGTATACGGACTTAAAATTTCTACAACATCCCAGGTACAAAATGGACCCTTAGGGTTTCATGCTCCTTTTCCACTCTTGTAACCTGTACGTTAAATTCAATCTCTTTCACAGTGAAGCGTCAAAAACTTGTTTAGCACGGATAGAGACAGTTCCATACCTTTAGTCTTTAGCATTTAAAGTAAATGTCATCGGTCTTTTTTTATATTATCTTTTTTAAAAAATAAAAAGGTCCCGTCCCGCACTGGGCGTTGATTATTAATACAACTATGCATTTATAAGATTTGACCTTAAGTGAATGATTCTTTATCTGGTTGAAAAATCCTTAAATGGCCTATGGGATAAAGCAACATTCAGCTACAGTATATCAATCAAATATTGTATTTAGGAATTCCTTTCCTCCTCACCAGTTTATTTTCTAAGACAGGACTAATGTTATCGTTACTTGTATCAATGATATTAAAGAAGTGAGATGAATAAATTGAGTCCTCTAAATATTAAGACCCAGTTAACAAAATATGGATCATGATACTCGTACGGAAGTGTCCATATAAACAATATGTGTATACTAGTACCCATAGGAAAAAAGTCTAATAACACAATTAATAAAATGCATGTTACCGCTTCAACAAAGATTACTTTCATAATTTCTAGAACATATACAGTGCTCATAAGGAAAAACAATTTAGAATATATGGAGTTCTCATAACGGAATTCAAAGAAGTAACAGATATAGATATACTAAACTATCATTATAAATATAAAAGATACTCATCATATTCACACCTTTAATTCTATTAAAAGTTTTTATTTCTTAATTTTTATCAGACATTTCAAAGAAACGTCTCCACTTGTAATTTCATGACATCCAGTCTTCTCAGTCCTTTGATTTTTAGATTTTTAAGTTAAAAATTCACTTTTCTTTTAAATAAATATGCATGGCTGATATAAATCTGAGTAAATCAACAGAAAATTGTACTATAACTTAAAGCTTATAAAAAGAAATAATCTACATAAGCTGATATCCTT